TTAAAAAACATTGTACCGATGGTTAGAAACACTGTTTCAAATTACAATACTTCTTCCTGGGTACTTTTTTGATAATTCTTTACCTAAATGCAGGCTTGAATTATACAACAAATCATTTGTCTCGCGCATACTGTGCGCAAATGGAATTCACTGAGCAACGAAACAAGGGAAATAACCATCAATAGGAATTTTTAAATTTTAGAAAATTGAGTAATAATAATGATATATTAGCCTCCCAAGTATTTTTCATATGGCAGAAGGTATCTGAACATTTTACATACAAAATTAAGACACAATTGTATTTTGAATAATGATCTGTATAGATGTAATGTCATAAGTAATCCAAATTGTTCTTGTGGTATGAAAGAGGATAGTCATCATTTTTTCTTTGTTTGTAGAAAATATTTTGAACCCAGACGCTTAATGATGAATGCACTATACTTGTAACTCATAATGTAAAAATGATTAATGTGCACAAATTGCTATGGGGAGATGATTCCTTATCTTCGCAGGAAAATGAAAAAAATATTCGGCATTGTTCAAAAATTTATTCAGAAATCAGGTCATTTTAATTAACACTGAATTGTATTATCTCTATTGAAATTATTATATATTTATAATATCAACACTGTATTTATTATCACCATTATTAATAATTGATATTTCCTTATTCATAAAACAATTGTCTTTGTTCTTCTATGTACATGTATATATTATTGTAAAATTTTGTAAATGTTGTATGGCTATTCAGATTTTATGTATGGGAGAGGACTATTAGCACTAAGTTGTTATTAACTTGTTCCAATCCCTTTTTTTGACACATTGTCAATAAAATATGTTCAAAACAAAACAAAGATGTCGAGTTGCTTGAAAAAGACCTTGGTCAATCAAGCTGAAACTATACACACTCTCATAATTTATACCACTGTTAAACCACTGTTTTTACAGTACAAATTGCTCTGTCTGTTTCATTACATGTAGTACAGAAAGGCAAAGACTGGTTTAGCACGATTCACGCGCATGCATCTTGGGCACTGATTGGCTAAAACAAAAATCTCAGTATCTTCTCTGTATTTCTTTGAAATTTAAAACATTCCTTTAAAGCGGCTAACAACCAAGCGATCTGTGATAAACGTGATGACTTTAACTTTTCTATCGTCAACTTCTCTTACTTATGCAGCAATATACCTTCATCAACTGCATATGGAGTTTATATATCTCAGTTGCTACGATACGCAAGAGCATACTCTACGTATGAACAATTTCTAAAACGAGGTTAATTAATGACAAACAAGTTGATGAAACAAGAATATCAGCAGACTCGTTTAAAGTTATCATTTCGTAAGTGCTATGGTCGATACAATGACCTTGTCAGCAAATGCAGTTTATTGAGTCAAATGCTGACTGACTTTTTCATACTAAATGTTAGTCCATTATCTATAAACTGAATTGACGAAGGGTTTCCCGTTATTTCCCAATCATGACAAGGAGCACACGGCGGGTGTGACCGGTCGACAAGGGACTAGTTAATATTGTAGTGCATTGACAAAGGTGAATTTCATCACCATTAAATCATTCTATCGTTTTCTTTGCAGGTAGAACGTTTTTTATTTTGATGTCAAATATCCTATTTTGTATTCGCCGGTTTATGGACTTTGATATTGAATACTGTTCGTTATCTCCATATCCTTCATTTGCTCTCTTAAAGGGGCATAGACACAGTTTCAGCAAAAATTTCAAAATTTATATTTTCATTTTTACAAATATTTTACCAGGGTCTTTCTTATGATCATCAAAAATTTGGACGTCAGTTGTCCAGATACGAGACATATTTAGAGCTCTAAACCTTAATTTGTTATGTAAACAAGGTAATGTGAAATGTTTTTGTTTACACGGGTTAATAACACATGATAATATATATTTTTCAGAGTTTTGGATATTAGAAAACAGGCTTTTAGAAATATTTGTTCATAAAAGTTCTTAATTTTAAATATGATTCGACAGTTACTATTGATTTGCTGAATTTCACTTAGTTATAAATATGATATTTTCTAAATGTAAACAAAAGCAAGGCACGAGCCTTGTTTACATTATGAAGAACTTTAGGCTCTGTATCTTGTTTGTTAATCAACAAATGATGCTCAAATTTTTACTAATCAATAGATGATGCCTTAGGTAGGAATCCTAAACATTAAAATTGTTTTTAAACATTCAGTTGAAAAAAGGCTGTAAGTCCTTGCTTTTTTCTTTAAAATACTTTTTTTACTGTAGTCCCTTTTTTGACAAAGATTAATTCCTTCCCATGAAGTGTAGTTTTGCCTCTAGTTGGTTGTTTTTATTGTAAAGTTTTACATGTTCTGGCATAATACTTTGTCATTTATTAGTTAAATAAAGGACTATTCTTATTCTTTAAACAATGTGTTGCATTTCATTGCATTTGTTTTTAAAAAGATGAAAATATCGCTAGGCAAATGAATACACAAAATTACTAGGCTAAGATACATGAATGTATATGAAGAAGAGTATTTTTAACCAAACAACCTCTGATATATCCTTTTTTTAGATATTAAATAAAATGATTATTTGCTTTTTAAAAGTTTTTAACCTGCAATACTAGATTTTTTCTTTCATTCACGTCGTTGTTTACCGGTGAGATGATTTAATTAAAAGAACTTTATTTGCTCTCTTATCCATAAAACTTTTCTGTAAAACAATTTTCTCAAATCTGTTTTAAGAAACAAAGCAAAATAGTTTTTTCAACCTCATTTGCTAGTACATTTGTGAAAGTGTTTTTGAACTGATCAAAGTGTAAATAAATTTATTGCAATTGCCTTTATTGAATTAATGATATATATAGAGATGACTATCAGAATTTAAGCTCAAAAGTTCATTTAACAATACAAATTAGGAGAAAAAAATGGACCTCTAAAACATCAGAGGTGGGATCAGCTAAGAGTCATGAAAGAGGGAGCCTCTCTTCCGACCGATCATACCTGCCGTGTGCTCCTTGTCATGACCGGGAAAAAATTGGTAAAATCCATAGACTATTCAGTGTGTAAATAATGGGATAACAACAAAAATTAAAAACCTTAGCTAGCATTTGACTTAGTGATAGATTGCATTTGCTGACATGGTTAATTGTTTCGACCATAGAGCGAAATAATGTCTTTAAAAAGGAAATGCAACTGTTTGTATTCATCAACTTGTTTGTCAATAAATGGCCTCATTTTAGAATCTATTCATATCTAGAGCATGTTATTGCTTACCGACAGATTCAGCTGAGAGATATAAACCTCATATGCAGAAAATATGGATATATTGCTGCATGGGTAAGGGGGGTAGACTATATTGAAAAGTTATGGTCATCACGAGTTTTCAAAAATTTTGGGTAATACATAAACCATTGCCTTCTTTTTCTAGTAAATAATCCAAACATGAAACAGATTTATTAGACTATTAAGCTCACTCGGATATATCGTATCGACATATATATGAATAGAAATAACTATTGTTGAATGATAATACATCGTAGATATATCTAAACTTAATGTCGAATTGAATGCCTCGCCAGTTTTTCTTCTTATGTATAAGATCTTTATAAATCATTCTACTTCTTATGAATACAAAAATACGTCTACTATATAATAACGGAGCGCAATTGGTACCCATGGGAATTCCAACAGTTTGTTGGAATACCTGGTCTCCTAAAACCACACCGATATTGTCTTTGAGAATTTCTTGTGTGTACAATCAGAATGTTTTTGGCAAATAAATTTTGCAAATGAACAATGGCAAGGAAAATTAGCTTAACAGTTCCAATTTTATTGAAAAAAAGCAACTGTCTGTGATGTCAAAAAACCTGGACTTTAACTTATCGTGGGGGATAGTTTTATAAAGTTTTGTACCTTTTGATGTTATTAATTTTGGTAAAATTAAGTTCAAATTTTCTAAAAGTTTCCTGGAGTTTTTAAGCACAACATCTGATAAACTCCTTTTCTGATTAAAAATATAATATAATATTATTGTTGTACAGAAATTGTTCTTCAGAACCCACCATCTATCTTTGTAAGTATTTTTTTTTTGTACTAGTAGTTTAGAAATTCAGCATTGTAAAGTATAATTCAAACTCAAATTGGTTTTCTGAATATTAAAACATTTAAAAACGTATATAAACATGTACTGTATTATTTTGATTATAAAGTGGATAAACTCTTACAGAATGAAATTCAAGTTCCTCAAAAATTCAATTAAAATTATAAGCCTTTCAAATTTTGTCAGCTCGGACCACTAAACATTGTTTGTGTAATTTAATTAGTTTTTTTTTTCTTACTTCCGAATTATTGAAGACAGAAGGATATATTGCTTTTTATTGCCCCTCAGCCTTTTCATACAATATTTCTTTTGAATTTTGATATATTCTGACAAAGTGACCAATTTTTCTTTTTATATGAAAACATTTATAGAATTCATAAAATTTTTGGTCATTTTGACGCCAAGTTGAAAATGATGATTCAGACAAATTCTGGAGGAGGCATCATTCCTCATTATAACTTTGTATATATTTCATTAATCAAAACCCAGGAGCAGACGAGAGGATTTTCATAGAATTCATGAATTTTCACATGATCAACAGAGCCCTATCCTAATTCCAGAACTCCTAATCCTGGGGCCACGAATTTCACAATTTGGTAAAAGGGCTCAATGCTTTACCAAAATTGTAAGGGCTCAATGCTTACGTGTATTACAATCACGTCAACAATTTGACTGCTTGATGTCCTGGGAGTTAGGCATGAAATTAACAAATTTTGCTCCACTACACCCACAGATGCCATATGCTAAATTTGGCTGACATTGGTTTAACGATTTTAGAGAAGCTGAAAATCTTTACAGATTAACACACACATATGACACACACACATGACCTCGGACAAAATGCATTTTTTATAAAGATATTGTGGTTTCTTTCCTGCCTTGAGATAAAAGAAAAGAGAAATTCAAAGTAAAATTCATCAATTTTATTTTTTCTTGTTTTTCAGAAATGGACCTTTAAATTAACAATTATGATCTTTTAGTCTCACAGGTATTGAATTCTCAATATATTTAAAACTACAACATTATCAGTTTAGCAATTCATTCTATCTGTTCAAAATCAAAAGTCAAGTTTCAAAAAGTTAATTTTGACCTACTTTGAATAGTAAAATGCAATAAACAAATCAATAAAATGTACACATTACATATCACCCAGTGTACAAATGTCAAATTCTGTGTGTTATTATGACGTGTGAAACATGACAGTGAAAACAAAACAAGAAAACACAACATAAAATGTTCAGGTTTTTACAAGACGGACATTTTTACAGAAGATGTAATTATAAATGATTAATGATTTTCACACAGTTTGTTCTATTTGAGTAATAAACCTCTGATTTTTTTAACTAGTGTAAACACTATCGGTATATTATTTTTAAATAACTGTAGGAAACAATGAATTGTAAATGATGCCATTTTCAACACATCAAAAATAACATTTTGTACACTTCGTTCAAAATAAGAAGTTTCACAAAATGTTGATTAGGTATTAATTCCAATTTAGTAATTTTCATTGTTTTCAAAAATGCACCTGAAAAAAAAAAGTCTAATCTGTCCACAAATATTGATGAAGAAAAATGTATGTAACATGTATATATATAACTAAAAATGTGGATATTCTAATGTTCTGAATGCTGTAAATTTAAACAATATTTTAAGGTTGAATAATACATTACAGGAAACCTGATGTTAAAGAGCATTTCTCTGCATAGATTTAGGTATAGTTTAAAACTGAAACACATAACTGATAAAAGAAATGCATCAATTTTGAAAATAACTAAATAAAGGTGTGCATTATATTAAAATTTACATAATTACATGCAGAATTACTTCAAATTTGTACCAGTAGACATGAATACACTGTATATACTAGAGAGATATTCACTTCTACCTTAGTATCACAAGCTATTTGTAATTGTAAACTAACCCGAGATATATGTTTATATGGATGTTTTATTCACATCAAAATAACTCTAACAAATGGAAAGAAAAATGTTTTTTAAATGCATTAAAACCTTCTCTACATGATTATAAAACTTTAACAAAATCTTGAATTGCCTCAAATAACAAGATTGAGATAACAGGTGTTGAAATTTGCTTCACTGTAGATTTGAGACATCTTGTGTAAAATGACTAATCAGGGGTTTCTACAAGATATTTTCATATTGAATTAAAAGCACACTTTTATATTTGTTCAATCTTTACATTATAGAATACGAATATCTTAAAACCTAGAAAAACGAAGTGCTTTTCTCAATGAAGAAAAATTTCCCTTTAAAGAAAAAAATGTCAAAATTTTAAGTTAGTTTTTATCTTTATCCAAAAAGAAATGCCAAATGAAAGAGTTGTATTCTGCAATAGCACTTAGAAAGGGGCAACAACTCTCTCCTTACAGCAAAGTATTTCTTCTGTAATTATGAAGTAATATGAGGTCGCATTTAAAGACAAATCATTCCATCACAAAGGTTCTCCAATTTTATTGAAATTTAGCAATTATTTAAACATCTGATTTTTCTCCTGGAGGGGAATGTCTCTATTTAATTTGATGAAAGATTTTTTTCATATATAATTATTATGAACATATTTTTTGTATATACATAGATAAATAGATTGTACATACATAATATTCATCTGCTCCTTGAAATAAAATGAAATTCATGTAAATATGAAGGACTTTTTTAAAAAATTCCAGTTATAACGAAGAAACCACAAATGTAGCATGAAAACCAAAAAAAAAATTCCAAGAAGGCACTTGTGAAACAAGAGAGAAAAATCAAACACTAACGAAATCATTCATACATAACATTTACATACTTTCTTTATCCTCTTAAGTGCATTCCAACAAGGATAAACGCTACAATTTTACAGTATGAGATTAAATGATTGAAAATCATATGAAATATAAAACACAACACAATGGTAAAATTAAACATACATGTATATACCTAGAATCTTTACAATATTTATATAGGCAAATATAGGACAACAAAAAGCGACATAAAAAAATCAGCAAATATATTTAACAAAGGTAAAAGAAGGTCTCATTTATGATGTACATAAATACAAACGCTTGTGGAATTTACTTGTCCATGAATGGACAAAATCTGATATGACCATTTATCAATAATTTGTTGTCCACCAGTGTACTAACTTAGTACTTAATACACACATTGCATGTTAACATTTATGATCATAAGGGGGGTATACAACTCCTCTATAAATAGGGAAAGTATGAAAAGTTAGTATATTAATCAATTTATCAATACAAAAAGTTGCTTGCAACTACCAATAACATATTGTATCACAATATGGAAAATGTTTACTTAAAACATATGCATTTCAGAAACATATAGAAAATGCAAAATAAAAAATCAGTCTAGCTTTTCAATTTACTGTAATAAGGCATGCTTTTCTCAGCAAGATAGACAAAATTTGTACTTTTATTGATTGATTGTTTTTGAACAGAAATTGAGCAGTAGAATATATACCGGTTTACAATGAACATAAGCAAGCAATTTATCCAGCTTGCTTAAAATTACTTTTAATCTTTCAAAAAAAATTTTTTTTTTCCTCTCTGTAAAAAAGGAAAATTCAAAATATTGTACATTCAAATGACCCTTAAATTCAATGATAAAAAGGTGCACTAAAGATATATAATGGTGGGATTGAATTCAACAAGAAGATCAAAGCAAGAATGCAAATAAAAGGGGTATTATCCTCCTGAACAAATTCTAAAATGCATTCAAAAAAATGTGAGATTTAACATAAATGGAATGTCTCCTGGGTCAATTTATAGTCACATGATCAGAGATGATTAGCCAATCAGATGAGTTGTATTTCTTTGCTGCTAGTCTATGGTTTGAACTACATGGGTTGGTCCCCTTCTTGCCTTTGCTGCCTGCGTTTTTTCAGTATTGGATTATCCGAGTCCTCCAGATTCTTGATCTGGCATTGTTCATAGTCCACTCGCATTGTTGCTAGTGCATTCGTCATCTCCTCCTAAAATTCAAAGAAAAAAAATTGCATTCAAAATGTGTTTAAGGTCAAGTCTCATTTCAAAAGTGTTAATCTTTTGCTAATATTTCTTAAATTTCTAGCCATTTTATTGACATATATATTAAATATTACAGAGAACACACACAAACAAACACATCAATTGGAATGATTCATTATACCACAAATTCCTCCTTTTCAAATATGCTCAGAAAAATTGGTGGGACAAAACTTGAGCAATCTGATATATTTTAGAACTTCTAAAACTTCCAAGTATGACTCAGAGGAAATTCTCAAATATAACACAGGGAAAATATACAAATATAACACAGGGGAAATTCTCAAGTATAACACAGGGGAAATATACAAATATAACACAGGGGAAATATACAAATATAACACAGGGGAAATTCTCAAGTATAACACAGGGGAAATATATAAATATAACACAAGGGAAATTCTCAAGTATAACACAGAGAAAATATACAAATATAACACAGGGGAAATTCTCAAGTATAACACAGGGGAAACATACAAATATAACACAGGGGAAATTCTCAAGTATAACACAGGGGAAACATACAAATATAACACAGGAGAAATTCTCAAGTATAACACAGAGAAAATATACAAATATAACACAGGGGAAATTCTCAAGTATAACACAGGGGAAATATACAAATATAACACAGGGGAAATTCTCAAGTATAACACAGGGGAAATACATGTACACAAATATAACACAGGGGAAATTTTAAAGTATAACACAGGGGAAATACACAAATAAAACACATGGGAAATTTTAAAGCATAACACAGGGAAAAAATTACCTGGACATCTAGCCACATATCCTTGTCTTCTTGTAGTATTTTAGCCGAAAACAAGGGAGTCGCAGGGACTTCAGTATTGTCCTGTATAAGGGAAATTGAAGTTAAAATATTTTACTTCTGTCTCTTTCAAGTCATTCTTGTCTTAATAGTTGAAACCAGTGTCATTTATTTTAAAACTTAATTTCAACAATTTTTGCAATTGATTTCAATTCTATTATAAAAGGAGTTGCACATAATTTATAGCAATAGTTGTCCATTATTATTGTTTATACTGCTATTCTGTTTCAGTGCAATTCTTAGCTCAACTATTCTAACACACTACCACTTTAATTTCACAATAATTTTATACATGAAATTCCAAAAAGGAAATTCATCTTTTTTATTTAATAGTCCATGGCCTTAATTTTAATTAGAACTGAGTAATGTATTCTTCTGATTAATCATTTCCATAAATTCTGTGATAATTATTTATAAGAAGTACGTACAGCGACCCATTTGTTTCTCATCACATCTTCTATGGACAACCTTTCCTCGGGTACCGTCTTAAGTAGACCTCGTATTAAATCTTTTGCTGTTAAAATAGTCAAATTACACTTATAAGAATCACATAGATTAAAACGATCAAAAATTAACAATGGCTAATGCAAGAAATGCTTCGTTATAATCAATTTTATCTTACTTTGATGCAACAAGCATAAATACTGTAATCATTTGTTGTTAAATATTCTGATTCTCAATTCTTCTTTTAATCATTATTGTGCTAATATTCTTAAAAGCAACCTTGGCTGATCAACTAAATGTAAATCTCAGTAGAAGTAAATACACAAGGGTTAACAATTAAAAGTCAAAAATACTTCTTTTGCAACAAAATTTACTTTCATTAATTATTAAATTATTGCTGTTTAAATTGTTATCTTACCGTCTTTTGATACTTTGCTCCACTCGGGATTTGGAAATTCATACTGTCCATTCCTAATTCGTTTCTTCATGCCAGGTGAGATAGCTGCCCCATGATTACTGTAGAAGGGGGGATAACCACACAATCTGTAACAAATATAGCATTTACATAAAGGCAACTTTCTGAATGTAAAAACCATACAAGAGAAAATGACTGTACTCTCACAGCATACAAATCATTTGAATAGAAAATTACACACTAGTAGCATTAATCTTCGGTACATTTAAATGATATCATATTTATTTAAATTTTTTCTTAAATATGTATTATACATGTATGTTTTTAATTTCTATACTTCAGCATTTTCACAAATTGCTGATTCAATCAATATGCTCAAAAAATGTTCATGGAACTTTATTATGAGTGTGCTTTAATGTAATTGCAAAAGCAAGACAAATTCTAGTGTGAAGTTTATTGGATGAATTCAAGAATCAATAAACGAATCAGAGAAAACTTTCTATTAACAACATCAACCTAATTCTTTTTGTTAATTAATTATGTACTTACAATATATACATTATTACACCTAGAGACCACATATCACAGGATTTGTCGTATTTTTCTGGACCCAAAACCTCAGGTGCTATAAAATACGCATGAAAAATCAATTTTTGTTATGTACTTTTAATTAATAAAAGAAAACATACAATTCAAGGTTAACCTGATTTAAAGTCTGGCTTATGGACCATTATTATTGTTTACCAAGAAAACTAGCTAGTCACTGTCATCATGAATGTAATTAGTCAAAAGGATTGTTCTTCAGGTTCTCATAATTCTCTGTTTTTTTTCACTAATTTTATCATCATTATTTCCATTTTCTCAACCTATAATTTTTTTTGGTGCAATTTAAGTTACAGATAATAATGATGCCTCTGCAGCAAAACTCATTAACTACCAATAATTAGTGGTATTTTCTCCTGCTATTATTGATCTTCTTATACAAGAGAATACACCATTCACATACTTAAGAAATTCATATGCTCTGTATACTGTGGTTTCATCAATATTCGCTGTGCACCAATTTTCGAGGAATTTGTTGTTGAGCATATCCATGAAATTAAATGTTTTAATATTGAATTGAGAAATGTGCTGTTCATTTGTATAGACAATGCTTTCGTCCACAAATTTACGTATCCTCGAAAACATCCGTTTTACAAAATCCATGAAGATTGATGGCAACGAAAATTGATGAAACCACAGTATTTCAAGCCTATGATCTGATAAATGTCTGTTAAGCCTGAGTGTAAGCTGAAAACTTACCCACATAATATGGAGTGTAACAAGGGGTCTGAAGACTTTTTATTGAATGAATCTCTTTGGCAAACCCAAAATCTGTCAGTTTCAGAACCCCTCCTGCTCCTTTCTTTGTATACAGAAGATTTTCTGGCTGTAAGATGAACAATTTTATTAACACAAAGGCATTACATATTGTAAGTAAAAAAAAAAAAATTCAAATTCTTTCCTGCTGTTTTTTGTTCTGGAAAAACAAACAAATTTCAAATTTCTTACAACTATGAACCAATAATTAAGTTGAACTTCAATATCTCAAATGTTGGTATCCTGACCACAAAACATGAAAATGTTGAAGTGATTTTTATGTCTGAACCACTTCATCTTTAAATATTTTACCCTGATATCTCTAACCCTGGGATTTTACTCTTTTTTGAAAATCAAAGATTTGGTATAATTCAAATTAAAAAATTCCATGCAGGGTCTGTAATATACCTGTCTGATACATTCTTGCAATGTGCAAGGCATAACATTCTACTTATAAATTTTTAACTCTCTGCTGAGGCCCCGTTCAAGTGTGATTTTTTTCTTAAATTGATAAATGAAAATTAACTCTTTTCATAAAAAATGTATCTCAAGAAATCTAGACTCTATTACTCTGGACAACTTGCTTAGAAACACAAACATCCAAATTAACAAGACACGACATTATAAGAGATTTTTCCTGACGCTATAATTACCTTTAAGTCCCTGTGGGCAATGTTGACAGAGTGAAGAAAATGAATGGCTTTGGCAATGTCTGTAATAATTGCTGCTGCCTCTAAAATAAATAAACAAAACTTTTCACTGCCTTTCTCTATTTCTTATGTTCGTTTTATAGTTTCTTTTTCAAGCATTATGTCTTGTGCATTTTTTTGCACTAGACATATATTGCATGCTTGATGATTCAAATAATTTATGTGTTATTGTATGCGTGCTAGCTTTTTAAAAGATTGATCTTATAATACACGTCATAAAACATGTGTTTTGCTCAGAAAAAAAACAATATACTTTAGTATCAAATGTATTTGGCTGAATATAATGCCCATTGGTGTAAAATACATGTACACTACCCATTTTTTGCTTAGATAATTTGGGTGGGAAAAAAAATACATGAAAATATACATTATATTTTCATGACTTCCATATCACGCTAGATATCCAAAGTCATCATTTGGATGACTTTAAAAAATATTATTAAATGTGCATTTTTTTTTCCAAAGTGATATTTTCTAATTAGTGGGATAATTTTACAAGCATGCTGCTCTTTTTTTTTTTTTATACATGTATAAATGGCAACTTGTGTAACATGTTTAATATAGAGGTGTTAATTTAATTTTAAAATTAACAACACTTTTTATTTATTGGTTACTTAATTTTATTAAAGCAATTATCTCCTTCATCAAACTTCCTTGAGTCCTCCTTTTTTCCGTTATTTATTTATCTTTTTCATTTCGAATGGAATATTTATGAGGAGTTATCATAAAGTTCCTACATTCAATAAAGTTTCACCCTATGGAAAAAACTAACAGAAACCTAGAAAATATTAAAACCAGCTACAGAAAAATAAAAGGCATTCACAGTTGACTATTCTCAAATGAAAATTATTAAGATACTGAGAGAGAAGAGATGCATAGTTAATGTAAGGGTATTAAAAGCCAGTCATGTTGAAAAGTGACATTGGTTATGTGTGGTAGAGATTGAACTTCGACGACTGCATTATGACGACATAATCAAGCTTGGATCATTTCCTATGCAATATATATGCACTGAAATCAACTGTTCAAGAGATTGTAAAATCATATACAGTAAAACTCGGTTATAGCGAAGTCCTGGGACCGGTGAATTTAATTTGCTATATCCGTACAATGAATTCGTATAACCATTACAGCGAATTCACACTATGCATGTTTTTCTTCAAGTATTACAACCAACTACGTTAGTGAAGCAAATATTACAAGACATATCTTCGATAACTAAGGTTTTCTTATGAATTGAATTTTATATACAAATGCTAAAAGGAAATAAAGTAAGTTCAATTTACCATTTTTTTTAATAATCTTTGAAGGTTTGTTAAAAAAGATGTAAATTTCATTATATTTAACCTCAAATTTTCGGCAGGCTACCCAAATTATCAGTTTACGCTATATCCGTAAATTCGTTATATCAGAGTTCGTTATAACCGTAAAATTTTACAAAATTTTGCTGGGGTTCCATAAAAATTTCGCTATATCTGTGAATTCGCTATATCCGTGTTCGTACTAAATGAGTTTTACTGTATAAGCAAGAAAGGTTTATATGCTTTTTATTTTTCTGTAGCCCGTTTCAATATTTTCTAGGTTTCCATTAGTTTTTTTTTTTTTTAATAATCTTTGAAGGTTTGTTAAAAAAGATGTAAATTTCATAGGTTGATATCCGTACTTATATCAGATATAACCGTAAAATTTTACAAAAACTTAGTTTTTTTCCATAGGTTGAAACTTGATAAAATGTAGGAGCTTTTTGATAAAATTCTCATGAGAATTTCATCAAGATAATTGTATTGAGGCAGAAGGAGTGGGCATAGAGAAATAATGACGTTGTCTGATGTAATGAAACTTAACTGCAACAGGGCCAGGTGGTCATTATAAGAATTTCTCTTTTTTTAATGATAATTTGCCAAATTATTTAAGGAATCACTGTCTAGTTTGTTGGGTATGCCAAGGCATTAACGATAGTTGGAAACATGGGATAATTTGCAGAAATTTGCTTTTTTAATGTGAACGAAAACCTCTGGAAATTCCATCTTAAACACTGACACAAACACCTTGCTGTAAGTACAGAATTGTTTATGTTGTATTTTCTATTAAACTGTTTAAATGTCATCTTACTTTGTTTTTGTTAGCTATATGTGTACCAGGAACTGAAATGAAAATCATTACATGTATAATCCAGGGTTGCATTTAAAGTTTGTTTTGAGGGTTGAAAAATAGCTTTACAGAAAATGAATTTATTCACTTCCATTCCTGCATTTATCCCACCCAATTTTTTTTTTAAAACTAGAGGTCATTAAATCCATTACACTCCCTCCTGCTATATTTTTAAACGTCTATTTGCAATCTGTAAATTCTCTGTTCATAAGTAATACTGAATCAGTGAAAAATGGATATATATATTATCTTTCCATTGGAAAACTTTCAAACTTAACAATTCTTTGCAAGTGACCGTGAACTTATGTAACACTCCAAAGTCATAAACAATCTTTGTACCAAGTATGTGCTTCAAAAGATTCTCTCTTGTAAAGATACAGTCTGGACAAGATTGCATGGAAATATGTGATTCGTACATATCTTGTAAGCCCATTAACTTTGAAGCAGGAGGTATAATTACAAGCTTTCCTCATTACTTGCTTATTAACATGACTAATAAGACTTGTGTGTTTACATGTATCACTTTTGTATAAAATCTGCCAAATATTAGAAACAGTATTTTGTATCTATCAATTTACAAAGACCAGAAAATAAACCTGAGAAGTCACTACATGTTTATGCATATTTCCAATAAATTAATACAAAAAAAAAATTATGAAATAATGTTAATACAGTACACTTGGTACATATACAAAGAACTGAAAGGACATGGCAGTTTTTCATACCTCTTTCTGTGAATGCTGAGTCTGCTCGCTCTTGTATTCTGTTGAACAGTTCACCCCCTTCCATGCTGTTTAATAAACAAAAAAAAAAAAGGTGCGTTCATCAGCATTAAGAATTTGTTACAATAATTAGCATGAACCATGATTAATTTTCAGCATTTTTAAACTTCACATACAGATTCACCATTAACTTTTTACAATACACAAAGTTTAGAGAGATTTAAAAATTTGTTATTTTCTCAGATTTTAAATAAAAAAGCCTCTCGGAGTCGTCATTCTTTCTTTATGCCAAGCACACACTTAAAACCTAAGAGGACATAACAACTTACACAAAATTAACTCTTTTAAAATATACCAACCATTCCATTACAACCAAGAGACATTTCTGTCCACTGTAAACATTCTCGTATACATCGAGTATGGCCACAATGTGTCGGCATCCCGACGCCCTCCAATGAAGGTCCACTTCCCGACGTGCTTTTGGTATATCCCGTAGAACCTACAATTATATAGAGTCACAATGAATCTTTTGGTACATCCTGTAGAACCTAAAAATTATGCATTGGTTTCATAAATCAGAAAATATGTATATACAGCCTGATAAAGCATAATTAAGAAATCACTGAATTTCCATGTATGGATTAATATCCGAATATGTCAACTGCAGAGAGTAAATTATCATAGTATCATCTGTTTCTTGAAAATATAAACGATATCTTGGGAGGAACTTATTAACAAAAAAAAATTCTTTACAAACTGATAATGGGTACATTTTTGACAAATTTCTAGAACATATATATTAAGCTTTCTCCACTTTGTGCTTTAAAATATAATTATGTGAAAGACCAAAATACCAAAGAATCTTCAAGTAAAGTTGGATTGAGAAGAAAAGGCCCATGCAGCTGGCATTATGTCTACTCTAATAGACAGTGAAATCATCTTTAGGTTTCATATCTCAGTATATATGTCACTGACTGACATACTGAGTTATATAATGATAACCATGAGGAAAATTGCACAACTACTTTTCCTGAAAACTATTTTTAGAATTCCTGTTTGTCCTGTATTAACATTCTGTGTTGACATCACACAAAATAACAAGATTCTGACAAAAAAATCCCTTATAAAAAAAAATAGCATGGCAAAATTTTAGAGTAAGAAAAGGCAAAAGTGAAAATATAATGGATAGTCTTCAGCATGACATGTTCACTGGAAATGGTGATTCTTTCTTCTTTTTTTAAGTCCACATGAATCTAAAAAAATAACTAATATGATGGTTTTTTTTAAGATAATAAAAATGGCACCTGCCTTTCATTTTAGCTTATTTATGAAACCAATTATGCCAAATATTGATAAATATCAACAAACAACAGAAACCACAGTTCATATAGCCTAGCTAAGCTTTGACATATAACACAGGGATGTAATGAAAAAATTTAGGTATGGAACTTACATTACATGAAACTGACTTTAGCATGTTTTGCCAACCATGAAATACTAGTAAATTATATGATGTAAAATTTTACTTTCTATTCAAAGCTTGTCCATACATAAAAAAAATTCTACATTACTACTGTCATTAGTGCTGTAAAGCAAAAATTTGGAGAGAATAGACTTGTCCTGTCTTTCCTACACTTTACAATTTGCATAATTTGTGTGAATTATCAGATGCTGATGTGAATTTCGAGTCCAGAAAAAAATTGAAATTAATTTAACTCCAGCATATCTTGAGAAGCATAAGAAATTTTGGAATAAACTTTCGTAACGGGGTATAATGTAATTTGTTATATGTGACAGGATATGAATAAAAATTATAGTTTTTAATGAATTTGTTATATGATATCATTTCACTTGAGAAACTGGGTACTAGTACTACTACCCTACACAATCACAGCAAAGGGGTTCCATTCTATGCAGGGCTCTCGATTCTCTAAAATTAGGGCCGTTCAACGGCCCCGTTCCCAATGCAAAAAAGGTACCTTTTTTCCCAAAAGAAAGGTGTAAATTTCCCAATTTCCATCCAGAGTAAAATATTAATTAAAAAATAAAAGTCCATCAAACCTAATCGCAAAAAAAACCCCAAACAAAACACACTTGCAAATGAAAGTGAAACTGTACTACTATATTATTAGTTCGCGCCAAATGCATTCGTAAACTGGTTCGGGGAACCAGGTTATTGTTTTTACAAAAATGTATACAACTATATGAGTTCAGAGTATGTAGTTTCGACAAAAACCAGCATTTTGGTTTCTAAAATAGACATTTCATTTAAACATTAGTAAGCTGCACCTAGAAAAATACCCGTGCTTCGGCATGTTTAGTCTCGCGCTGTATTGGTAAGCACAGTTGCCCATGTGATCGAGGAAATTCGGGACAATGTGACCAGCGACTGTCACGCAGTAAGACATATAACCGCAATATCAACACTCAAAGATAGTAATGACAAAGCTAATGTACTTTCATAAATAGCCTACGTACCCATGTTTGTTCTGTTTAACTGTTTATTCAAACCAGAGTTAGCATTGATGATAAAATGCTAGAAAAGCAAAATTTGAGGATTTTTTTTAATGAATTTGTGTTATCCAACTTTTCCCAAAATGACGATAATTTTCCCAATTTGATCGGCCCCGGCCCCAGTCGCAAAAAGTGGTGTGAGAGCCCTGCTATGAATTCTATCTAAATATCTCTATATTTTTTATGTTCCCAATTTTTATAAGTGGATTAAAGCAATCTAAAGGCTTCGTTAGACCTATGATGTAACGAAATTAACTAAGATTACATTTTATAACGTTATTTTGACGTAAAAGGACGAGGAAGGGCCATGACGAAATTTGGGAAGGGTTTGAGATTTTAATTTTTTTTAAACATGTCAGCGTTTAAAAACCAGTTTGTCAGCCACAAAATGGAAGTCAAAGTTATACAAAATAATCTTATCTATTTATTTACCTTTAGAGCACATTTCCTATTATTTATTTTGTTAAAACATTCGACCACTTTTCCATTGATACCCAAACCCAAAACACTCCCCGTGATTCTATAATCGTCACTGATAGGATTCTTCTTGGGTTGAAGGTTCCGGGTCTGGAAATCTCCCATCATCTTCAAGAAAAATATATTTCTGTTACTGTTTATTTGTCACTCGTGGAAGAAATCGTAACGAAAATGTACACCGAAGTCTTAGAGTAAACGAATCTGTCTGTGTGTCGTTTCAAGCAATCTCTTTCGGAAATGACGACAAAATTTATAAATAGATTTTTTCGTCATGAAATCCAGAACCAAATAGTTCAACCTTCTGTATTCCGGTAGAGATGCTTGAACAAGAAAACGATTTTTTTAATTAATTACTTCAATTCTTATTGAATCGATTAAATTATGCCCGAAAATTTTGTTTTTTATTATAATTATCAGATTCATTTTATCCAATGTTATATCAAAGGTTCAAACGTAAAAATATGTACCGTAAATTATTTATGTATACCTATTGATGACATTGGAGGAAAAAAATGAACAACTTATTATCATATTTACTAAGTACCTGCATCAAACGCCGATTTTATTTTTAAAATATCAAATAATTCTCACACCTTATTTTATTATATTATCATAATTTAATTATCAAAATTAACTTTGCTTCTAACAATTACCTTTTTTAATTTGTGCCGCGGCAAAAGAATCGTGTGGCTATATCTGGAATTTATTTTTGAAATTGCAATGCTGACATTTACTGTAATATAGCTGTCTTTCATATGATTGATATTTCTTTGCTTAATAAGGCTTGTTAATTAAATATAGGAGTATATATAGAGGATATTCAATGTTTTGTAGTTGAATATGGATTATTATTTTCACGATCCACTGAAAATTTCCTGTCCCATATATTCTGTTTATTACATTTTTAAAAAAAAATCTTTGAATCATAGGCTCGTGACGTCATAGTTGAGCGGTTGAGACGTCATAGCAAGTGAGGTGAAAACACTGTAATGGATTTAGAAAATTTTTGGTAATTTTTTTTATTCAAATGGTTTATTTATTTCCATTAATTAAATTTTTTTTACATCTTTGTTATGGGAAGGGAAATCGAGAGTTTTCCCACCCTTCTGATATTCGTCACACTGTGACAGGATATCATTTTGATATCCTTTCACACTGTGACAGGATATGAATAAATTTAAAAAATGTGTTACCACCTGCAGCCTACAGATACACTGTACAATCATGTTTAAGTAACCTTCTGAGTGAACACAAGAATTTTTTTTCTATAAAGGGTAAAAAATAAATAAATAAATAAATAAATAAAATAAAAAATCTGGAAAATCGAAATTGATGAAAATAGTTTTGGAAAGGACAAGGTATATGCTTACCACTGAATTTGGCCCCACATATAGTTATAACATAGTTACTTGTAACATAGTTAAAACTGTGATAAAGTTTGTAAAAACATCACTATAAATTTTGATTCAAAGCATACATGGAGGCCACAAGAGGGTCAATTATCCCAATTTTTCTTTCTGCAATTTCGAAATTTGAAATTTTCACTTTGGAAAACAACACAAAATTCTCCTTGTTTTCTTATTTTCTGAAAGAAAATGTGCTGTAAAATTAATTACAATTTGCATAAAAATGAGAAAATAAGGAAATTGACATTAGTGACCTTTGTACCAAGCTTCCAATTATATATACTCATTTTGTGGTAAGGTTTTCAATCTATATATAAAATGTTGCATCATTCTAAAAGACAACCACACCAAGGAACAAAAATGGGTCTTACCCGAAACGTAATTCAGATATAGGCCTACAGTAAGATCGACACTCTATTAAAATGTACCTAAGAATTGTTACACGTACATGTAACTTAATTTATCGAAAAGTCCTTTAATAGAATTTTGATTCATATTTTTAAAAAACATATATATAGCTACATGAAAGAATTGTGAATAAAAAAAAATCCCTATTCATGCAGTCTTTTTTAGTATAAATTTTTTTTTTTTCAGAACAGAAAATAAAAAAGTGTTGATTTCTCAATTATATTTTAATTGAATTGGACTTAATTTCTTTTGATTGATAATTGCATTCTAGTCCAGTGCAATGAGTGCAGTTAAATTCTCATTAAGATAAACAAGTAAAAGCAATCACTCATCAGTCAAAGACAAGCCTTCTTTTCGACTGGATGTTTTGCGCATACCAACACTTGTCGGTTGATAAAGAAATTGTGGATTAAAAACAGAAAACCTTTTTTCCTGAAGACGAAATAGAAATATTGTGGATTTCCAATCATATTTGGAATTCAATAACGAGACAAATTCCCTAAGTTTCTTTTGAATGGCTAATTTGCAAGACATTACAATGTGTTGCATTGTATTGCAGCAGAGTGCAGTATCTCTGAATGCATATTATTTGAACAAGCACAATTAGTGTACTTATTGGTAACATTCCCCCACCTTCCACGCTCCGATAAACAGCCTATATATACATTTTTCCCTTGCGACTGATTGTAACTAGTAAAATTTGCATAATGTACATTTGTGACAAAGTTCGATAACTGAAATTATGGCCCTTTGAACAACGTTGATAAAACGATCTTTTGCTCTCGATCTGCTTTACATTATACAAATGTTCAGTCAATACTAACAGACGGCAAATTTGTAAACTATATAAGACAAATCAGAGTGTCATTTCCAGCAAGATCAAGTGATAAAGACAGAGTGATTAGCCGTAATGTCACGTCTAAAGTTTGGATTTAGTGTGAGTTTATCTCACCAAATATGTACTGCTACTTTCAAAGCAGTGTAAAACAACACGTTTGATTGCTCTACATTGTAAATCGGAGCATTGTTTGATTGATTCTCAAAATCTTTGTTTATTAGTCAAACAAGAGAGTTTACTTTTTTTCACTGTTTTGTCTACCCCCAAAAAGTGCATTACAGCAACAAAAAATAACTTTATTTAAAGTATTTTGTCGATTTACTCGATTGCTAATTCAGATATATAGTAAGAGCGACACCCTATTTAAAATGTATCTAAGATTTTAATTAACCTAGGAATGATTATATATAAACCTAGGACGAACACTTAATATGAAAAAGAAATAATGAAATTAATGAATACAATGTAATACTAAACATTTTCAACTTATTTTCATTTAATCATACCCGAACTAATATTGACCAAGTATGTTTAAAATTGACAGTACTGCAAACAGTGCATGCTATGCACTGCCGTGCAGTTAAATCTTTATTTAAAAGCAGAATGAATTAGCTTGCAATTGAAAGAAATTCACTCAACACAAAATTTCCTCTGGATGTTTCGCATATACCAGTACCCAATAAGTTTTCGATATTAAAAAAAAAAACAAACAAACAAAAGTAACTGTTGTGTTGATGAGAACTCAGCTCTAAGTACTGTTCTCAGATGAAATTCCTTTATCCTTCCTGGTGCATATCTACACCATTCTCAAGATTTCTACTCACCAGTCAAACACGAGAATTCAATCTTAATACCTAAACTAGTCATTTGACCGAGCATACCCAAACTAGTTGTTCGATGAAAAAATAGTAATATGTAACTTTATCGAAAAGTCCTTCGATATATTTTGATTGTAAATTTTTATTCATATTAAAGAAAACATATACTTAGTAGTTAAGAATCGTGAATCAAAATGAAATCCCTATCCAGTCTTTTTAATTAAAAAAGTTTTCCAGAACAGAAAATAAAAAATTGTTGATTTTTCAATCATATTTTAATTAAATTGGACTTAATTTCTTTTGATTGACATTGCATTCTAGTCCAGTGCAAGGAGTGCAGTTAGATTCTCATTGAGATAAACAACTGAAAAAAAAAAAACACTCATCAGTCAAAGACAAGTTTCCTTTTCGTCTGGATGTTTTGCAGAAAAACCTTTTTGCTGAAGACAAAATAGAAATAAAGTGGATTTCCAATCATATTTGGAATTCAATGAAGAAACAAATTGCACTTAGTAAGTTTCTTTTGATTGGTCAATTTGCAAGATATTACAATGTGTTGCATTGTATTGCAGCAGAGTGCAGTTTCATTCAATGATCCTATAATTAAACAAGCACATTTAGTTTTCTTGTTGGTAATATACCCCACCTTCCACCTTCTGATAAACAGCCTATATATACATTTTTCCATTGCGACTAATTGTAAGTATATAGTAAAATTTGCATAATTTACGTTTGTGACAAAGTTCGATAACTGAAATTATGGCCCTTTGAACAACGTTGATAAAACAATCTTTTGCTCTCTGCTTTACATTATGCAAATATTCAGTCAATGCTAACAGGCGGCTTTGTAAATTATATAAGACTAATCAGAGAGTTATTTTCAGCAACATCAAGTAATAAAGGCAGAGTGACTTACGATAATATCATGTGTTAAGTTTGGACTTAGTGTGAGTTTATCTCATCAAGCAAGAAATGCTACATTCAAAGCAGTATGAAACAACACGTCTGATTGTTCTACATTGAAAATCGGAGCATTGTTTGATTGATTCTCAAAATCTTTGTTTATCAGTCAAACAAGAAAGTTCACTTGTTTTTTTTTTCATTTTCACTGTTTTGTCCAAACCCAAAAAGTGCATTACAGCAACAAAATATAACTTTATTGTAAAGTATTTTATCGATTTACACGATTGCTACATGTACCTTGCTTTATTTCATATTTGCAGTTTGAACTAAACTTCCTAGCTCTCATAAGATCAAAACATTCTTGCATATAAAATCTGGGAGTAAGGTGGATGGATGGGCGTGGGGTAGGAATTATATGGGCCCTGTTTCTAAATTTTGATTTTACTTTCTAATTTAGTTTAAAAATGTTTATTTCAAGGATGCACCCTGTGTTTGACTTTAACACGACCCCCCCCCCCACCCACCCACCCGAAAAGCAGAGTTCGAAAAATTCTTTCCCCTTTTGGAGGAAAGGGGGAGCAAAGTTTTGTTTCAGGGGAGATTCAATTTTTTTTCTTCTGGTAAGTTTCCGATTTGTAAATTCCAAATCAATACAAACACACACATACTTATTTTTTTAACTCCCCTTTCTTTCTGTTTTTTTTTTTTCATATGGTGAACTTAAAGAAAACTGAATATGTTTTAGGACCCAATATATTAAGACAGAGCTTACCTACCCCCCCCCCCCCCTCTCTCTCTCTCTTTCTTAATAAAATTTTACACTAATTTTGTATAAGTTTCAACCGTAATTAGTCTTGTCTGATTTTGTTTGTACATAAATTCATACAGAAGCTTATACATATGCTTGTAATATATGTGAAAGTGTCAATAAAAAAAAAATTGTTAATTCCAAATTAATATAAACACACAGATATTTATTTTTATTTTAACCCATTTTTTTTTCATTGAGTTTAATGACTATGACTTCAGCATAACTTTTCATACACGATGGCATGGATTTGTATCGTTTTCAGAAAACAGAGAGAGATCCAGAGAGAGAGAGAGAGAGAGAGAGAGAGAGAGAGAGAGAGAGAGAGAGAGAGAGAGAGATCAGGAACATTTAACATGTATTCACCCATGCATTATATATATTAATCATGTGGTAGACACCCTAATTTAACGTTTACCCGACCTTTGAGAAGACGTGCATGTATACAATTAGTTTTGATAATTTACTTACCATTGGTTTCCGTGACCTGTGGTGTTTATCCATTGTCACAAATTAAAATCAATCATTAGCTTCTCAGCCGATATTCGAAAATTCCTGAAAATATTTGTAGTTTTTCTATGTTTTAACTGGGTCTCTGTTTGAAAAATGATGATTTAACACACGAAGAAAGTACATGAATCATAATTATATGTTGCCCAATGCATGACAATTTTTATTTTCTGTTATCCATTATGTGTATATATTCATTTGCATGGCCATATATCGCCCTTTCATGTACTCCGAATGCAGCTTTCATATTCATAGCTAAAGGCATTTGATCGAAATTAATAAACTTAAATCTTAAAAAGACAAGTATCGAAATCTTTAATTTTTTTTTTGTATTGATTAAACTGTAACGAAAACTTAAATTAATATATGTACATGTAAGTATAATTAATTTTCCACTTCAAATATACACATGATACAGTGTACTTGCCGTTTTCTGTCACTTTTTCGCTTCAAGTATTTGTCGGCAATTTATCAACTGCAATAAAAAAAGAATACCATTAAGTATAAGTTTATATACATATCATACCAACTTTGAAATACTATACATGTAGAAACCGCAAAAAAAAAAAGAGCTAGGGGTTTCTAATAATAGATCTTCACAGATATGAGTACCATCACGATCTATTATGACATGTCAATTTCTTTAGAAGCATGCATACGAGTGGGATTGAATATGAAAGCGATCTGTTGAATTTTTTATGCCTCCATAAACGAAGTTTCGGAGGCATATAATTCTTGCCCTGTCCGTCCTTCTGTCTGCAAAACTTTAACGTTGTCCATAAATCCTGAGTGGGTGGGGCTATGACTTTCATAGTTCACAGGTGTATTCCTTGTGATAATTAAGACCTTTCTTAGGGTACCTCCACATTTGACCTCTTGACTTGAAGTTTGACCTACTTCTACAAAAAAATACCGCACGTCAATCTTGGTCATGACTTTTGAACAGTTGGAGCTAGGGCTTTCATACTTCTTATTTGTATTCTTTGGGACAAGACCTTTCAGTGATTAGAAATGTTTTTTTCTTATAATTTGACATTGACATTGTCAAGAGTTTGACCCACTTAAAAAAAACTTTAACCTTAGCCATAACTTTGGAACACTTCGAACTAGGGCTTTCATATTTCACACGTGTATTCCTTACCACAAGAACTTCCTTAGGGTGCAGACACTTTTGACCTTTTGACCTTGACCATTGGAGTTTGTCATGCATTTGAGAAAATTCAACCCTCGCCATAAGCTGCCATACGGGGTCATCAGTGTTTTACAAACACATCTCGATTTTTAATGAAATAAACACAATATTTATAGACAATTAAAAATTTAAGGTAGTCCGATCCTAAGGTCTTGAAAATTTGGAGTTAGATAATTGATAATGCTCACAAAAAGTCTCTGAAAATAATATATTTAATCGTATGCATGGTATTTCTTTAAAGTTCATCATTAAAGTTAATCATATTGTCTAGGGAAAATTATCAATTACCGGTAAATCTTAAAAAAAAATTCAGGAGAATCTGATGCAAATCAAAGTACCCGATAAGCATTTCCTAATCATGCTAACTGAAAATTGATAAATAAATATATTTCCAAATAAGAAACCCATGGGCCACATCGCTCAACTGAGTAACTTTGAGCATATTTCTGTTCTTCAACAGATTTACCCCGTTGTGATATCTATTGTGACCCAGCCCAACCCACCGGGGGTCATGGTTTGAACAATTTAGAGCCTAAACTACCCCCAGGATGCTTCCACATAAGTTTCAGCTTTTCTGGCCAGTCGTCAACGTTCTTGAGAAGAAGATTTTAAAAGTTTTTTCCTAAATATTTCAATGTAAAACTTGGATTCCCTATTGTGGCTCTGCCCTACTCCCGGGGGTCATGATTTGAACAATTTAGAATCGACACTGCCCCAGAATGCTTCAACGTGAGTTTCAACTTTTCTAGTCCAGTGGTTCTTGAGAAGATTTTTAGAGATTTTATCTATATATTTCAATGTAAAACTTCCATGAATTTTCTTATTGTGGCCCCGCCCTACCCCCGGGGTCATGATTTGAACAATTTAGAATATACACTACCCAAGGATGCTTCCACATGAGTTTCAGCTTTTCTGTCCCAGTTGTTCTTGAGAACAAGATTTTTTAAGGAACCCACCCTTTTTTGTCTTTTCTTGATTATTTCCCCTTGTAAGGGTACTTGGCCCTTCAATTTAAGAATATAAGCTCCCTTTTAACCAAGGATGCTTTGTTCCAAGTTTGGTTAAAATTGGTCCAGTGGTTCAGAAGAAGTTAAAAATTTGAAAAGTTTACAGACGGACGGACAGACGGATGGACGATGGACAAAGGGCGATCAGAATAGCTCAATTTAAGCTTTCAGCTCTGGTGAGCTCTCTCAAGCACGTACAAGCTATAAATTGGCACAGTTGGCAGTTTCCTTGATCTTCACCACTATATACTTAAATTTCAAAACACATGGAAACACGTCACAAAAAAAACTTAGAATTTAAAAAAAGGTGCTTATCTATAGATCTACTTATAATTAACTAAAAGACATTTCATATCTTTTGATATTAAGAAAAGTGTCGTATTTCTGATGAAACAATAGTCCGACCTTACAGAAGAAAAAAGTGTGTCCATTTATCGGAAAGTTGTACTCTGGTTAAGTAGGTAGAATGAAAATGACATGTTAGTAATATTTAAGAGAGAGAGAGAGAGAGAGAGAGCATTTTAAATGTGTATAAAGAGAAAAATGCAAGTCGATCTTTTTTCTTTAGAATTCGATCAAAGTTTTCTTTTCTAGTTGTTTCTATTTTACGTGCGACTAGCTACGATCCTACAGAGACTTTTTATAAAATACCAAAATAAATTACCTTTCTGCAAAAAAATCTTCTGTTTTAATCAAAACTGACTTTACAAAAATAAAATAATAGCAACCTGATTTTTTTCTTCAAATTTCAGCAGTTCCACTGTGATATTCATCACGTATGTAAACGATCTTTAAAAAAAATATATATCCATATCCATTCTGATTAAAATCAGACCTTTGATCCGCTCACATAAAGATCGCTACCTTTATGCGAGCGGGTCAAAGGATCTGATTTTAATCAGATTGATCCACATAAAAACAGATGTGGAAATATCCAGTGAGCACGCTTGATGATTTTCTATCATGCAAAGTATTTTACAGGTTATAACATGTAACATAGGCGTCGGGAGGTCGGGTCTTAACCAACAAAAACGTAAGCCCCAATTTCTAATGTATTATATTACATGCATATATGTTAATCTTTGCAAAAAGGGGGGCTAAGCCCCCGTGCTAGTGCCCCCCCCCCCCCGTTTCTGATGCCTGTGATTGAAACAAGCGTATTTTAGAAATTTTACCTTGAAATTTTCAAGTTGTAGATTCATGAAAATATTCCTTTTTCAAGAAAAAAAATTGTACTCACCATAAAGCGAATTTTAAAAATTCTAATTCAATATTTTCTGGGTATTCATTTGGAAAAGTATTACATGAAGATTCTATTTCGCTCTTAACTTTCTGGTGTTGAAAATTCCTGAACTCGTCTTCTTTTACGGAACAAACCTGTACTTACCTTAATACAAATAATTAAAAATGATAAAGCAGCTAAATACTTACCGAGTTCACATTTGGACTATGATAAAAAAATCAATCAGTTCGTTATTGATGCTCACAGCTTCATAAAATTAAAATCAAGGGATGTTCAGTTTATGAAAATACATGTACGTACATTTCCTACAAACAGGGAAATAGTTTTAGACCTTGTGCTTGTTGTGAACGTAACATACTTTTGACGAATTATAATTCTACACGAAAGGCACTATGAGAACATCTAGACAAGATGAAACTTCCTGCATCCATAAATAACCATATTAATTTACTTTTACGTTATTTTAGGAACGATGCACGTACGTAAATAGTCATTGACTGGTCATTTCCTTCGTAGGATATGAAACGGAAAAACTATAAAACATCTTAGTTTCAATAAAGAGGAAATAAATAATCCTTGATCTTTGACATTGTACATGTAGTTCTTGAAACTATTTGATTTCTTGAAAATATTCGAATATTCATTCGATGAGTTGATATTCGAATGTAAATTTATGATTCGAATATTCGTTTTTAAGTATACAAGCATTTAAAAGAGAGAAAAACCTGGCAAGTATTATTAGAAATTGAATAAAGTTTGTACAAAATTAAAAAAAAACACTCCTCTTGGATGCCTTAAAGGTGTGAAGAGTTTGTCTATTAGAGTAATTTATTTATTTGTTCACTTAATTAGAAGCATAACAGTTTCCAGTACTTACAATCAGCTTGTATTATTGTAAGGACATAGTTTTACAGTAAACACACAGACCCCTTGTATATGTAAATATCATTAAAAATCATTATCAGTAAATCATAATTAGCAAAAAGTAATTGCTTTTAATATTTCACCGTTTGATAATTGCTCTGCTTGGTATAGGAGTTATCAGTGTAGACTTTAGTAAGACGATCAATATAATCTGGAACATATTAAAGAATCTTTTGAATTTTCAAAAATCAAACATTACATTTGGGATGTATCCTATTCAATATTTTTTAAAAATATAATTTCAGTGTATTTATCGAACTCTACATGAGCTTTTATTCCAAAATAATGGCATGAACTCTATATACTTGACAGGAGAGTGAAGATATATATTTAATAATGCAAGACGTATTTATTCTATCGAATATTCGAATATATTCGAATACTCCTACCGAATATTCGAATACTCCTACCGAATATTCGAATATCAGTTATTGACAATATTGACATCACATTATGTCTATTTCAATATCATAGCACTAAACTCTTTTTTTTCTAAATCAACAGTGTTGTAGTACGAGCCTGAAGACCACAGGTGCTTGAAGTTTTTTAAATTTTCTTTTTATAAACAAAAAATTTCCCATAGTATAATTATTACAGTATGGGGCTTTTTTTATAAAAAGAAAATTTAAAAACGTCAAGCACCTGTGCTGAAGATACTAGAGCTAGGGAAGTGTTTAAGTGATAGTCTTAAAATTGTACACACAACATATAATTTTCACTTCTCCATACTTATCATTCTCACAAGTTTTAAAATTAACCTTCACCTTAGCCCCGACCCCAAAGTGAAAAGGCACTATATGCTTTTTCTTATCATCTTGGGCATCTAAAATTAGCAAGTTTTAGACTGAAAGGTCAGATGGTACAAGTTATTAATATCAAATTGCACATTTGGTATCCACAGCGCTGGTGAAGACTAATGGTAACCCTGACCTTGACCTGAACCATGATTTAAACCAAAAAACCAAAAATGTACATTCTTAGGAACTCTCCCCCTTTTCCAATCCTCTGTTAAGTTCAAGACTAATAAGGGTAATGTTTTTTTACACACATCACATTCACAACATTAGTAAGTGCATGTCCTTTCATATGACCTTGACATTTGGCTCCTCAAATGAACTCTTGTACAAATCAATGACCTTTGCATTTACAATGTACATGTATTTATGCTTCATTTCCTGACATCTTTTATATTCTACAAATTTTCAAATTAATACATTGTAAATGTTTATCCCAAGAATATCTTTTTTTGTAAAAAAGAATTAGACAAACATTTATACCCGGTAAGTGAGGATGACATTTATAAAGTCATACCCAGCTCCATGTGACATAATGTCAGTAAAAATCTATTTAAAACCAATATATATATAAATAGGATATCTATATTGTGTGATTTGATATTTAAATATCCATTGAATTAAATGGTGTATATATTGTTATTCATTTATATCAGCAACACAATACATGTTCTTTTGTCTCATACTACTTTCGTTTTAACAAAACTTATCTTCCCCTGCAAAACTATATGATGAAAAAATTGATGACTATAACTTGATGACGTAGCACCGTTTATGTTGACGTCCCTTAATGTAAAATTTTTTTTTGCTAAAAGTTTAAAACATTATGTGACAATTGCTGGAGCTATATAAACGAACTTCTTCAAAGTTGTAAAGACCATGGATCGTGAAAATGAACTCTTTGGACGATGGCAGTACAAAACGTGTTATGCAAGGCTACTTGTAGATTCACTGTTGATCCATGGTAAGTTACACCTACATTACTAGGTAGACATACGTAGTATAATATAAGAAAGCATTATTGAAGATGTTAAAGGAATCTTATAACAACAACTTAACTGCTAGGCTTTACTTTCTCCGAAAACGATTTAAAGGGGGGGGGGGGGGGGTTAGGTATAACAGTGTGACTGAAAACCCCAACCTAGCTAATAGGTTCATAATGCAAAAGACACCTCTTTGACATATATGAGTCTTTTTGTGGCTTTTAACGATATTATCGCTCTTTATCATTCATTTTATTAAGGCAATAATAGGGATCACAAATAAAAGTTTCAAATTAAATTTTGAAGGGAGTGCTATTGATAAAGCATCTACCAGTTGATAAAGCATAAATTTATCCAACGGCCTGTTTCACCAACACGTATGAGATAAATATATTTTCCTTGTAACAGTATAATAAAACAATCAGTAATTGATTACATATTCTGAATGAAGAAATCTCAACAAAATGACATTTAAAAATTATATACTATTAGCCTCTTATAATTACAATCATAAATATACATGTGTATTAAAGTTGTATGTGCTGTATGTTGATAGCTTTTGTATAATTGTAGGCCTACAAGTTTCTTTGAGGAAACACACATCGAAGAAAACATAAGAAAACAACAAAATACTTTTTAAAAAACTGACTTTAACAATATGAATAACAAACATGGACACATATGTCTAACAAATCAAAGAGATTTTAAAAAACATCAACAAACTTTAATGAATAACTTGAAAGCTCTATGGTGTTAAAATGTAGTATAAACATTTTGATTTTAAAACTGTACTAACAAACAAGCTTTTCTGACTTACGTAGATCCACTCAATATTTATGAAATGAAACTAAACCAAAAATTGATGCATTGTAACAGAAATTAGATCTGGTAAATTTTCAATTGTAATTTCTTTAAATAATAGTTTGCCAAAAAGAATTGGTTCTATCATCACACAGTCAGTTTAGAACTAAAGGTCAAAGTAGGATCCTTTCATGTAATAATCTAAGTAAACAGAGGCCTGTTTAAGAGAGAGAAAGAGTGCTCATGAACATTTATGTTGAAGGTATATGGAATTTTTGAGAGCACTTTAATAATGTGAATGTTCTGTTGAAAAGGCCTCAAGTTCATAAAAGAATTAAATAAATGGTAATTTTAAAAAGTTTAAACTTAATACTGTATGTATAACCTTAAAAAAAAAACTCTGTATCATAAAATAAAAATTCGTTTTCATCAGTATATGAAATCAGACACTACCCATTCCATCAAAATCTTGGGTAGAGAAAGAAGTGGCACAGCTTCACTTAATCTTCGACCTAAAATCTTGCGTAACTTGAATCGGCAAGCCTCTTTCAATGTTGCTTGATTAGCACATTTATAATGAACGAGTTCCAACAACAGTGGTGCAGTTTCCTCCAGCCTGACTGTTAGAATTTCTTTAAAACTTTCATCTGCCGAAACGTTGTATCCCTCTGATAATAAGTACCGAATTAGTTTATGCCTGTTTCCCAGACAAGCCAGGGAAAGAGGAGAAGTGTATCTATACTTGTTTATATCACAGTTGGCTTGAATCAGGGTTTTCATGGAGGTCAGCTTATTGTCTGTGACTGCTGTAATGAATGGGGTCTCACCACTGGTGTTCATCTTGTTAACGTCTGCTCCGAATTTTAACAAAGTCTCGATCAGGGACACATTTCCCATTTGTGATGCTTGATGCAGAGCCGTATCTGCCATAGTCTTCCTCCTGTTTATTAAAAAAATAATTTTTTTTAAAAATTTAAACATTCTCTAAAGTACAGCTGAACAATGCCTACAGTATCTTGAACATCAATATGTATTTCAAACATCATACATGCATGGATATGTAAAATTTTATAGTCTCAACAATATTTTCTTTATGCACTAGATAATGAGCTTTGACCATAATATGCTTTAAATTATGACTTGTTGGTAACCTAAGTTAGCTCATTTCCTTTATGTTTTTGCTATGAATCAAACGATTAGCATCCTTTGACAAATTACTGTTTACAATTTTTTTTTTGCCCTGTGTTAATTTTGCGATTTCACATCTGAAAACAAGTTTGCCTTGTTTGAAATTTGCCCAGAAACATTTTTGTTTAAGATATATACAGTTTACTTTAAATTTGCCCCATTTTAATAAATTCGCCCAAGTCAGATGAGGGCGAAAGAGGTGAAAATTAAATGGGGTATAAAATTTCACTGTATACAATATTCTCCAAAATGTTTAACTTATATTCCGGCTTACGTAGGGATATCTAGTTTAGCCTTCCTCTCCAACAGAAATTCCACCATGTGGACTTGTTCGTAACACACTGCCAGTTCCAGGGGAGTATGTTCTGTAATGGTGTTCAGGGCATTGATGTCCATACCAGCCTTCAGTAACTCCTCCATCGATTCCGTGTGACCACTGGTGGCCGCCACATGAATGGGCAGGTCACCATCAGAGTTAGCCTGGGGAATAATCAGAGGAAGGATTTATTTAAAATAGCAAAAAGATACAAGTATGTATTGATTAATTTTTAAATTTGATTAGAAAAATGTTAAAAGGAAATAAAACAATTAAATTTTTAACTTCCATGTAGTATCTTGTTCCAAATTAATGAATCTTTAATTCTTATTAGCAAGAAATGTTTTCCAAGAATATATGACTGTGTTATCATATGAATTTATTAACACTACATTTGTGAAAACACTGGAAGCAATGTGTGGTAAGTGGAATTTACTCAAGGTGCCTTAATGTGCAAGTACATGCTTGTACATAAACTGCATGCATTTCAGTTTTTAAAAAGAACTGCTGAACACTGAACTACTTGCCTTGTACATGTCACATCCAGCTTTGATGAGTACTTGAATTATCTCCCTTGGACCACGTTGACATGCATGGTGAAGAACTGTTCTCTTTTCTTTGTCTAGACAGTTTACATTGGCTCCAAGATCAACTAGCTTCTCAATTAGTGGAATAAGACCTACAAAATATATAGCATAACAGATTCCAGACTGTTTAACTTTAACAATATTATGCTGTATTTTCTTGATTGTAGGGAGATCAATATTCAATGGTTGGATGTTATCATGTAAAACTAGTAAACTTAACTGCAAACTTGTGGACTTTGGACTGGCTATTAATGATGATACATGTTAAGAATATATAGATAATATGGCAATAAATTCTTATTCCAACATTCATGTTAAGTAACTGAAATCATTGCACTGTTAAAGACCCAATTTTTTTACCGTACGGTTACCTGAGGAGGGGGAGTGGTCCAAGTAACAGTGCTGTTATTTACCTGGAGACCCCCAATACCCAAGACGTCAAAAATCTATATACACGTAGCATTACACAGGAAGTCTGTGTCTGGTGATCAGGGTCAACATTCCGTGTTTCATGTCTAAATCGGAGTGAAACTGCTTGAAATAATTGAAATATTTCAATATAAAGTTTATTTATTTCTACTTTCAGCGATACTTAATGAAGAAAAAAAGTTATAAAGAAATATCGTTTTTCTATTTAAAAAAAAATGTAAAATTAAAGACAAGAACACAGAGTAAAACTACAAAGCAAACATTCCTTTTTTAATTAAACTTGTGTAACTATCAAAATTTAAAAGAATAATAAAATATTCCATTCATAGGCCTATCCGTTTTGTGAACATATATACAATGTGCCGCAGGTATATATTTTGCCTACGTTCTGACCAACAATAGTGTCGAAAATATTCACCATTTCCGGGTGTTCGTGTGTTTAAAAATTTTTACTGTTTGCAAGATTTCTTTTATACTTTTAAGAATTGATCTTTGGCTTTATATATTCACTTTTTCACTTCGAATATTGGGTATTGACAGACGTTAGGAAATTCGAACTAAAAGTTACAATCTCGAAACGCATGTTTCTGACATTTCAATTACAACGGAACATGGTGTAGATTGTATTCAAATATACATTGATAAAACATTGGATAAAGGAATTTTTTATCCATGCCGTTTGTGCTAATATATCTTTTCTTATTTATCATATTCCAATTTTAATCGGCAAATAGCGTTTCTGTGCACGGACTGCTCTAAATTCTACAGCAGATATCTTGGACGACATATCGCCTAAAATACAATATAGCCGTTGAGATTGAAAGCAAATATTTTATGAAGTCATGTTTTAATTATCTGCTCTCAATTGTTTTTGAAAAAAAATTACCAAGATTCTTTTTTTTTAACCCCCGTGTATACAAGGCGGCTACATGAAAGTGTTTGACGCGTGACCAGGCAATCGTTTTCAAAAGACACAAACTCAGACTATCAAGTAGCACGAGTAGCTGGCCTGTCAATCAAATCAGAAGCTATTGTTTTTTTAATGATTGACAGGCGGTAAATTATTGATCTTGAATCAGGTAGATTTTAGGGGCGTTAACATAAAATTGGGTGTTTAAGCAGTATTCTCACAAATTAAATTAAGCTTAAAATAAAAGCAAAATTTAAAATGCCTTAAGTAATAACTTAATTTATATACAGTTATCAGATAATAACAGTTCATGAATGCGTAAGAGTGTACTGATGAACAAGGTAAAAGTAAAGTATACCCATTTTAGCGGCATAGATAAGTGGAGTCCCTGATTTAGACATCGTGTTTACGTCGTATCCCGGAGTTAACAATAACATGGATGCCCTCTCCACATCTTTCTTCTTCATGGCTGACAAGACATGGGTGTTCACAGCCATGCTGCTTTGCGTTATGGTCCAAGAGAGGAAATGCTATCATTGATGGTGAAGATCATCATGACACTTTAAGGACTTCCAGTTTTATTCAATAGTTTTTTCCTGATAATTATCCCATCTTCCTTACAGCACTTGCTTCATTTCCTGCCATATTAATTAAGAATGGGTATGCTGTTATTAAAGTAATTAATCTGGAATTGTCTGCAGGACACAATATCAAGACATGATGATATTTAGGTGTTTTGAAGGATAAAGTTCGATAAACACTAGAGAAAAACCATCTAAGTTAAATTATGCTTTAATTTTTGCTACAATAGGAAAAGTAGCTGCAAGTATTTGATTATGCATATGGTATGACTAGTCACATGCGTCATGAATGATGATATGTACCCCAAAAATTTTGGAAACGCAATATTTGATGAACAATTTTACATGCATTGCTCTGTTGTAAACAAGAGGACATCTTAGTTTACTAAATTTTTGCACGTGAATGCAATGCTTTTAAAAGAATAGAATTTATCCTTACTCTGAACCCCAAAAAATTGTTCTCCATTTTGGCACACTGCGCCAAACACGACAAAGGTTACTCCTGAGGATTTACGAGAATACCATCGAACTTCTCTAGACTTTTCCCAAGTTTGCAAGCTTTTGAAGGTCAAGGTTAAAACAATGGCGGCGCCCATTCAACGTTCAATTTTGAAGTTGCTGAAATCAACATCTGGTAGTTTAAAAAGATCTCTTAGCGTAAGATAATTATTCTACATAAAGACAAAGAGTGAATTATGATAAGTATCAAATTATATTTTCTTCATCTCAAGTTGATATCATTAAATTATTGTTTTTATAATCTCTCCTTCAGCTCGAAAATCCTCTAGAAATAATCAAGCATCCCTGTCATCATTTTTAGCAAGAATATTGAAATATAAGTTGAAAACCTGGTTATATTTGAACAGATAATTCAACAACTGCAATTTTGTACCATGATAAACTGTTTTATTTCATGTCTGAATGAAAAAGAAAATAATTGAAATATAATAAATATTGCAAATATATCCTTTGTACAATTAATATAATCATAGAAATGATAGAATGTATTATGAACTTAATTAAGATTGCTCCACAGGGGCAGCTTATCCACTCTGTTCTCTATTTCACATATAAAAATACACAAGGGAAGAATCGAAAGTAGAACACGATTTTTTAAAAAAGACAAAAAACAACTTACTTGATAAAAGTTACACAAATCCTGAAAGGAACTAGCGCAAATAATGTCCTAGTACTTATCCAGGCTAAAATATTCCAGATATATCCATCGAAAATAGCTTTTATCCAACTAAAACGCCAGCTTTCTGCACAGTGTGAAACTCTTCGCCCAAGAAAAGATAACTCACCCGGATGACAATAGAAAAGTACCCGAGGCCTTCTGATTGCACTCGGAATACTTGGGCGAAGAGTTTCACACTGTGCAGAAAGCTGGGGTTTTAGTTGGATACGTGAAATAGAGAACAGAGTGGATAAGCTGCCCCTGTGATTGCTCTTAATCATGTCAATAATTTCGGTGATAAATTCTATCTATGTAATTTTGCTCTGCATCCTACATATATTATGCACAAGGTTTGCACAGGACGCATCATTTCAATAAATATGCATCATTTCAATAAATATGCATCCGGGACAACTGCACTTTACTTGTACATCCAAATAGCATGGAAATAGCACATGCTGTCTCTGTTTTAGTTATTAATTATATTTTGTAGGGAACAAATAGAGTAACTGGAAGTCTTCTTAATCAGCAACATAGAGCAGATATCAGAGACTATTCAACAGAGCCACAACATGCACAATATGTATATACTCTACATGTTTATATTTGCACGGTCTTTATTTTGTTTGTATTTTTGTCCAGGGAAGATAATTGTAGTAAATTAAGCTCATGTATATGATGCAGTTATAAAGAAACTCCATGTTGGTTTTACAAATACTGTAAAGGACTTACTTCATTTCTGATATAAGAGTATTTGGGTCAGTGGGAAGCGAAATCATTGACTTCCTCCCCATGTTTTACTGTTTGGATCTTTTATTATATACAGTGAATAATTTTATCATTTTGTCATGTTTGTGTTTATTGAAGTATTTCAAAAAGATTTTAAAGTAGATCAAATGGTTTTACTGTGTAACATAATAAGCCACTTGAGAACACTACTTGTCTGTAATGATTTTTTCCCCCTGTATTGATGCAGAGTAAATATGGAGGAAGAACTACTGTGACAGCCCTGACGGGAGATGGTGTCGGACCAGAGTTATTATCTTATGTGGAGGAAGTGTTCAGGTAATGTTTGTACTAAATGTAAATAAAATCAAAGTAAATAAAATCATTAGACAAGTTTGTCTTCAACATAGGAGAATTCTCTTTATGCAAATCAGATACAGCAAAACCTTGTTAGCTTGAACTCAGTGTGACCAAGAAAAAAAAACTGAGATATCCTATGGACTGGATCACTGGAAACTTCAAGGGTATAATGGTTAAAGAATAAGGTCTTTTTATCCAAATCTGTTCAACATATTCGTAATACGCATGATATCAGTGTTCAAGATACTAAAGTTCAACTGTATTTCATTGCATCTAATGCATATACTTTTCAGCACCTACAGCATATAATTATGTACTTTTAGGAAATTTTTACCTCGGTATATGAACTTGAACTTGGCCCCATTTCTACAAAGAATTGTATTATAACTAGAAAACTGACCAGTCAGCAAGGGCCCCGCCATGGGGTGGAATTATAAGGATGCAGCTTATGGAATGATTAAAAAATATATGAAGAAATAAGCAACAGCAAATGTTATGTATTCTTAAAATTTTCAACATAATTCCTGAATATCCAAAAACCTGTAAATAATATCCTTGTATATTTACATTAGGCACTGGCAGTAAAGAACAACCTAACATTGAATGTATATATAAACAATAATGAAGTTTGTGTTTGTGTTATATAAAATGCCAGTCTTCAATGAATGCAAATACATGTATCATGAAGGCTTGACCTTAACTTCAAAACAAACAGCAGTTGCAGACAAAGTTTTTCATTAATCTTAAAATGAAAGATAAAGATAGGCCTACTAAATTTTCTTCAGCAGGCTAGATAATTAATCCTGAGGGATTAATTGTACCTCTCTCATCATTTTCTTCTAAAGTTACAATAAGAACTTTTTCAGTATTAATATTAGAATGGCTTAATCCAACTACCTTAAAAATTATTATTATTCTTGAATTTACATAAAGGGAAAAAAGTAAAAATAAAAGATATGTCTTCTTTAATCTATTTCTTGTTTTTAGAATTCAATGAAATCATAACTCATTGTGTAGGTATTTTAACCAAAATAAAGTATAAACATTTATATCTAAATCCACATTTCAGAGTGTTCATAGCATTCCAAATTGACTGAACTTCAAAACAAACTTCATTTGCAGACAGAGGTGGTAATTAATCTCAATGTGACAGATAAAGATAATGCTTTGGATTTTCTACAGGAGGAAAGCTAATTAATCCCAAGGGACTCATAGCAGCATTCAGTTTACAATGGAAACATCTTCAGCAGTTATCTCTCTTTGCTAAAGCATTCTTACATAAAGTTAAGGAATATACCCCACCACCCCAGCTCCAAACCAAGGGTCATAGAGAAACAAACTTAGCATCAAAATATGTCTTTCTGCCTATTGAACTACCATACCAAATTTGATCTTAATTGGGCAACCATAAAAAAGTTATTAGGAAAAAACGGGAATTTTGTGGACAGAAGAAAGACAGACGGACAGACAGAGTGATTACTATAGGGCACCCGCAAATCCTTGCGGGGCCCTAATTATTGTATCCTATTTTATTCATCAATAATATTTTTAAGACAAATTTAAATTTATATCGATTTAAATTGTCTTCTTTAGATATGCAGGCGCCCCTGTAGATTTCGAGAATTTGGAAATAAATGCCAGCACAAGCGATGAGGACACACTACGCAGTGCTATCCTGTCAGTGCAGCGTAATGGGATAGCTCTCAAAGGTTTAACAGCATGCACTATAATTAATCTTTATAATGATATGTAATGCAATAATTGAATTATAATAATAAAACATTTGAGAAGGAGAAGTAGTGATAGATAATGAATTAAAAAAGCAATGATGCAATGATAATGCAATCATAGTTTTAGGGTTTTAACCAAAATTACATGAAAGCTACTCCAAACAAAAACATAAGCAAAAGAAACCAGTTAAAACGTTTAATAAAATGAAGGTTAATTTCATTGTGCAAGAAAATTATGAAGTAATATATCGTGTGATTTTGTAGGAAATATTGAGAGTAAATTTGATGAACCAGGATTCAAATCCATGAATGTTGAGCTAAGGTAAGTATCAAACCATTTGAAATCTCACATGACATAATGTAACTTTGGCATCATTTAAGCAATGAAAGTGTTTTTGATTCACTCTTTTATTTTTATAAAATCTGATTAAAAAACTTAAAGCATTCATTAATGATTATCTGATTTCAGTGTGAAGTAGTAATTAAAATACTGTTAGAGGTAAATAAATCTATCTGTTTATTTTGAATAGGACAAAACTGGATTTATTTGCCAGTATTGTGTGGTGTAAATCTATTGCTGGAGTCCAAACTCGACACAAGAATCTAGACATCATCTTAATACGTGAAAATACAGAGGGAGAATACTCAAACCTGGAATATGAGGTAAGGCCATTCCTCTAAAGTGTCTCTGTTGATGAGTCAGTAAATTACTTTTTATTTGGAAAAACTTTATTTTGGCCTGATTATGAAACTGGTCTCCTCATAAAAACTTCACTTTTTCATATTAATCTGTACTGCTAAGGATTATATAACTGTAACCAAAATTCATGAAAAATTTCTCTCGCTTATAATTTTCAAATAGCAGTTTCATGAAAATTTGGTATCAGAAAAAATTTAAAATACCTGATTTGTTGTAAAAAAAAAAATGCTTATTTTATGAAAAATTCATTTGTTTGAAGTGAAAATTACCTGGTAAGGTACACTTATAGCTGACCTGTAATAATTCTCCAGAGAGCATTAAATCAGAGAAAAAGAGAATAAAGGTTATTATGAATTCTACCACAATTATTGTAAAGATCAAAGGAAACCGGCGGACATTATTCGCCAATAAATCACGAATGTCATCAAAAAATTATCAGATCAGAAATACCTATCAAATCTGAGCAATTCAAATGCATGTTTGGCTGTAGAATGAAATACTTGTTTAGACCTCATTGAATTGCATTAAGTTGCTGATGAATGTCTGTTTTTATATAAACAACGTGATTTTAGCAGTAAAACAGGAACATGATTTATTATTGTATATTCATTTTAACTGATCAATACATATTACGAACAAATTTGTAATTTAAAAAGGTTATTTTTAATGTAACGAAAGCTCAAATCGTCTGCATTCTATACACAGGTAAGCATACAAATTCTACCTCTGGTGTTAAATGAAACAGCATAATCGAGACATGGTGACCTAATTTGTTTCTCTATAGAGGAAACAGTTATCCATAATTTAGCAATTGTAGTATACATGGTAGAATAGAAATAAAGTCCTTGTTGTCGTGAATGATGCAGAATAACCTCCTCAGTCTCGAAATGTTCTTTGAAATATAAAAGCCTCGGTTAACGCCTCGGCTTTTATCTTTCAAACAACATTTCTCGACCTCGGAGGTTATTTGCAACATTCACGAAAACACAGACTTTATTTCTTAAATAATCATTGTAGATTGTACCAGGCTGTATAGAGAATCTGAAAATCATAACAGCAGCAAAGTCTACCAAGATTGCTAAGTATGCCTTCGAATTTGCCAAGACCCACGGAAGAAAGAAGGTCACAGCTATTCACAAGGCAAACATCATGTAAGTTCATAGTGTTGTGTGAATGAATTCCTCTCTTCATCTAATTTTACTTCATTAAATTTCTGTGCAGAAACCATCAAATTTCAAATTAATATACTATATCATTACTAAATGATTTTTAATTTTCTGTTTTCTCTCTCTCTTTTTTTCTCAGGAAATTGGGAGATGGGCTTTTCTTAGAATCTTGTAGAAAGGTGGCCTGTCAGTACCCAGACATTGAGTTCAGTGACATGATTGTAGACAATGCCAGTATGCAGGTGTGTAGTATAGTATGTTGTTTAAATGTGAGTGAATGTAAGAGAATAGTGGTTCTTTGTGCTTGTGTGTATGTTTTGTACATCTTGCACTATTCAAGTACATGTATGTCATATTTACCCAAACTTGATTGTGAGAGTTAATTTTATAAACTTATATCAGCATTAAAAGAGTAATTGTAAAATTTAGGAAAGTAATACACCTGTATCAGTAATGGAAAAAAACATTTTCAGAATATTATATGAAGACAAAGACTATTTTCAGATTTAGTTGAAGAACTGCTTAAACCTTAGGTATGAAAGTATAATGGTCCATGGAAGAAGTATCATTTATATTTGACTAAAATGTACAGATGAAGAATTATAGCTACAACACTTACTTTTTTTTAAAACAAGATGGTGTCTAAGCCTCAGCAGTTTGATGTGCTGGTGATGCCCAATCTCTATGGTAACATCCTGAGTAACATCACCGCTGGGCTGGTTGGGGGACCCGGGGTGATTCCAGGCATGAACATCGGGGACAACTACGCCGTCTTTGAAATGGTTTGCACTTCTGTGGATATTTTAAGATAGTTTGTTGGCACGGAAAATATTAAGTCTCAATTCTTTCCTGAGAAAAAAAGAAATTAAAGGTTCAAGGATCCTCTGAAAAGAAAGCTAATTCTCACTGGGATATATAATTAAAAAAAAAAAAAAATTTAAGTTAAAAAAAGACCATTTATATAAATTTTTTTATATCTCACAAGGTGTGCTAAAATTTGTCCACTGAAATTTAACATTAGCTTAATTTTGGAAAATTATTAAATTCAGAGCAAAACTTTACATAAATAGAGGGTTAATTGACCTTGTTATATTGAAAACAGAAAGTCAGAGCATGTTGATGATGTTAGTGATACTGATGTCTTGCTGCATTTATATATGTATTGATATTGAATTATTTTTCTCACAGGGAACTCGAAGTTCTGGCCGTAGTATGAAAGGGAAGAATATTGCCAATCCCACAGGAATGTTGTTAGCCAGTTGTGATATGTTAGATTACATTGGGTAAGAAAAACAGTATATCTGTATCCTTTCAAAGGTCTGACAAATGGAATAAAGCACAGGGCTACATCTTATTGATGTTTTATCCAGAATTTACATGCAAAATTATTTTATTTGTTTTTTAATTCCGAAAAATTTTACATTCCTGTAGCTATAACCACCATGCTGAGTTGATCCGAGAATCTGTGATGAAAGTTTTGTCTGAGGACAGAGTAAGGAGTTCAAAATTTGAAATGATTGGAAAACTTATTCTGTAGAATTTCAATTTTGCCAGTTCTATAATTCACTTGTTCGTGTAAATCTATAAAAACATATGTATACTGATACTTTAACAGGTCTGGACGATTTCTAAATAAGGAAGTCAAGAACGATAACCGTGAATTGCTATTAATACACAGAATAAACAAGGCACTAATCCTTCTGACCAATCAGATAACAGCATTTAGACAAACCCATGAGAGAATAAATAAAACACGTGGCTTTTACGTTTTTTGCTCAAAAGATTTTTTTAGAACAAACTTTTTGTAAACTTTATGTGCATTTGGGAATAATATTATATTTATGACAATTCTACCGTGAACAAACACGACTTGAAAGCTTTGAATACGTTTTAAGTGGGATAAAAAAAATCTGTCTCTAGGAGTTAGCAATCCCAAAAGTAATTTAATTACGTTAAAAAATTGATATAAATACGGTAAATTTTCAGTTTTTAGAGCCTGACCTAAAAATCTTATCGAAAAGATAACAGTCTTTATTATTTTTGAGTGTTTATTACAGAATACAAGTAGTCCATGCAGTTTCTTATATGCGAGGTAAGATATTGGGATAAAACGCATTCATGTATAATTACAGGATTCTTTTCTCTCCACGTTAAACGCCTTTCCTTATGCCCATTTAAAGTCTGCATAGCTAAGTATTCGGCGCTCATGAAACCCGTGATATTGCAAAACTATATGTGTTTACTCCATACGATAAACACTTGTGTGAGTTGATCTATACACATGGAATTTTTAAAAGCATTATCGATGAAAATCGGTCGGCTAAGCAAAATTATATTTACCATCATATAATATATTCTGGTAAATGTTATAATTGAACTTGATAAAAACTTGCTGGTGCGATCTATATACCTCTGTAAATGATTACATTCTTTCGTGCATTATTTTTTTCTTTACCGAGATAAAAATATCAAGGTTGTTCACGGTAAAAATGTGGGGAATACCTTATTCTTCAAAAGTTTTCATCTTACTTCTACAAATTTTTTGTTAAAAAAAATCTTTTTGAGGAAAAAAACAACAGCACGTGTTATCTTTTTGTTCTCTTAAAATATGTTTTGGGGTGTGTAAAAATGCTGTTGTCTGATTGGACAGAAAAATAATTACGTGTACTTGATGTACATTTATAGCAACTTTCGGTTATCGTTCTTGACTTCCATATTTAGAAATCGTCCAGACCTGTTTAATGAAATTGTACTCACTCTCATTTTTAAAAAAATCTGAGAAATTGATTTTTGCAAATGTTCATAATTGTTTATATTTTTGAGCAATATTTTAAATAACTTTCCCTCTGCAGATCCAGACCCCAGATCTAGGAGGTCAGGCAACAACTTTAGAAGTTGTACAAGCCATTATAGATGATATTAAACCAAAGACATCTAGTTGGTAAGTAACTGAACACAAATGCTTGGTTGTTAAATGCAGTTCTAGGTTTGAGAAAGGTAATTTTGGCCGATTTTATTACCAGTACGCATATTTACACCCAGATTTTTCCATTAGTTTTTATAGTGCTATCCACTTTTGGAATATTTTCTAAAATGAAAAAAAAATGCATTGCCTATGATATTGCATGTCAGATGAATTTCAAGAAAGTATGAAGCATATTTGTGGTAGAGATTGAATTCATGTAAATAAATTCAGTGTATTTCATTTTTATGCCCTGCCATGAATATGGCCGGGGCATATAGTGTTTGTCATGTCCGTCTTCCGTCCTTCCGTCCTTCTGTCCTTCCGTCCTTCCGTCACACTTTGCGTTTAGCTCTGTTCAAAGCTAAGTTTCAAAGAAACTATCCAAGATATTTTCATCAAACTTCATATGCTGATAGATATTGATGAGAGCTATGGTTCGTCTAGAGATGAACACTACCACACTTGCTTCGGATGCTGAATCTGACTGACATTTTCAAGACGAGTGATCAGGTAAAAGTTTTAGGAACAGGTCCATTCCTAAGGAACTATAAGCCCTACTTGGACCAAACTTGCATGGATGATGCATCTAGGGATGAACAGTACCAGACTTGCTCCGGATGCTGGATCTGACCTACATTTTCCAGATGAGTGATCAGGTTAAAGTTTTTAGAGCAGGTCCATTCCTAAGGAACTCTAAGCCCCACTTGGACCAAACTTGCATGGTTGATGCATCTAGGGATGGACACTACCAGACTTGCTGCGGATGCTGGATCTGACCTATATTTTCATTCCCAAGTAACTATAAGCCCTACCTGAACCAAACTTACATGGATGATGCATCTTTGGATGGACACTACCAGACTTGCTTCGGATGCTGGATCTGACCTGTATTTTTAATCCCAAGTAACTATAAGCCCTACCTAAATCAAAATTGCATGGATGATGCATCTAGGGATGGACACTACCAGACTTGCTTCGGATGCTGGATCTGACCTATATTTTTATTCCCAAGTAACTATAAGCCCTACCTGAACCAAACTTACATGAATGATGCATCTAGGGATGGACACTACCAGACTTGCTTCGGATGCTGGATCTGACCTATATTTTCATTCCCAAGTAACTATAAGCCCTACCTGAACCAAACTTGCATGGATGATGCATCTAGGGATGGACACCACCAAACTTGCTTCAGATGCTGAATCTGACCTATATTCTCATTCCCAAGTAACTATTAGTCCTACCTGAACCAAACTTGCATGGATGATGCATCTAGGGATGGACACTACCTGACTTGCTTCGGATGCTGGATCTGACCTATTTTTTCATTCCCAAGTATCTATAAGCCCTACCTGAACCAAACTTGCATGGATGATGCATCTAGGGATGGACACTACCAGACTTGCTTCGGATGCTGGATCTGACCTATATTTTCCAAACAAGCAATTCAGCTGCATCACTATTCTGGATATTCTGATCAAATTTTAAACACATACAAATTTTCATGTTACTTTACTGATATATCCTCGGCGGGGCATTCATGTCCTATGGACATATTTCTAGTATTTGATGTTTTCAACCCCTCTTCTTTAATACATTTGCTTTTATTGCTTGAATAAAAATCATATGCATTTAAATTACTGACAAAGTTTTGATATTTAATTTTTTTTTCTGATAAATTTATTTATTTATCAACAGACATATTTAACTTAACTCTAGTTTTATTTTTATACATAGTAGACCATGCATGTTTGCTTTCATAAAGGCTTCAGAAAGTTGGACATTTTATTTTTAGTAGCATTAACAACCTTCATTAGAATTTTAATGCTTGATTTTCTCAGGAGTTCCACTGCAGCACAAAATATTTACAGCCTCAAATGAGGAAATGGTATGATGAAAACATAACCCTATCTACCTACCCTTGTTCTGCATTTTATACTGGCTGGCTTTGGGTCCTTGCTATCATAACTTGCTAGATACATGTATATGTGTTTATGATAATTATCTTGTAGATTTTTTTTATAGAGCAGCAGTGTTTGACTTCAAATAAAATTTAAAATCAATTCAAATGTGATAGCAAAGCAACCCATTCAACTAAGCTAACATAGCCACCTGTTAAACCTACAGCTTTGCTGAATGTACAGTGTACTGGTACTTGAAAAATTGCAATTAAATTTGCTCTTGTTTAATATCAGTGGCTCAAAAGAGTTGCAGTAAAAGCATTTCTTTTATTAGTTTAAATAGAAATTTGTTTTCTAGAGAATTGTGCACAATTTTCATTTCCTGTACTTAAATTATGGATTAATTTTATGACAATTCAACACTTGTCAATGAAATTTGTTCTGTTTACATAATAACTCATGATTGACACCAGGTATATTACATTTAATGTAGCAGAATACTGAAATATTATCATTTGAACTTAAAATATACATGGACAAAGCACTATTTAGAAACTTGTTCATGAAGCATATTCTGTAGATAAGCTAGATTTTATTAGTGGAGAAATAGGCTAGTTAGTCTAAAACAGTACAAATTTGTTTAATTTTCTCTTCTCATATTTCTCTATGAGAACACCAAAATGTTGTATAGCTATAGCCAACACTCTTTGACTTGTTAAAGATATGACAAAATTAAGACAACCTATCTTTTTTTCACTTGAAGGGCAATTAGAACGTCCTAAGTAAGTTGAATTGTGAATAAACTTAACTTAATATGTTTCTTATAATCTTCAGCTAATTGTTCATTATATACCTTTATATACTAATTCTGTTTAATAAACAAAACTCATATCGACATTGGTTAACTTGAGACTGACACTTATGAAAAATCCCTTCAAACTGAAAATTGTATAAAGATTTATAAAGAAAATTACAAAATAATATTTATTAAATTTATGAATTATCAGCTTAACACATACCCAGCAATTAACTGTCTAGAATCTCTCATTTAATTGCACTAACACTTGCCTTGCTATTTGAGATACATGTATATCCAATGATGTTAATGAAAATGCAATTGTGGCTGTAATAGTACATGTATTACAGGTAATGTTGACTGCATCGGTGGTTAAGTTTTGTTAATGCAGAAGTTACCTGTGTTAAAATTGTATAAATTATAAATTTTCTTGTTTCTAATGATTGATTTTTAAATCAAATTTGAATGAGTAAGAAGTGGATGTATACATTACATAGAATGGACATTAATTTTCTGCCTTCCCTAGTGAAACCAAGTTTCTGTTAATTCAGTTAATATTTTGTTTACTAACATTTGCTTTGATTGAGTCACATACATGTACTTGAGGGAACTGTTTGTCTGTATGTATGTTTTGTATAAATCAAGTGTTTGATTACTAATATAAATATTTTCTTTCTATTAATATCTGACAGGCTGCATGATTAGACTTTTCATATGGTGAGTTTTGTTGTTGTTGTTGTTTTTAAGGTGGGGAGGATAAATCAATAAATCACAAAATAGAGATTGCAAGAAAATTATTATTGTAAAACTTACTTAAATTATATACTAGTGCAATGTATATATTTTAAAGTATATGAATATAAATTATAATCAAAATGCTATATAACCTTTAAGGTAACAGATACATTGTATATATGTGAATTCGTTTTTTAAAGTGAGCTAAGAAAAATGAGAGGTATAACCTTAGCCAAATACCTCCATTAGGATGGATAAAATATTTTTATAAAATTTTGATGATGTTTCTAACCAATTGCAATCATTAAAATCTCGATTTTTTTGGTCCTTTTAAGTTCAAGATAATGAGGTTCAACTATAGTAAATCTTTTGGTTAAAAAGACAAAATATGAAATACATAGCACTAATATGCTTCTACAGATTTCACAATATGCTAAAATTAACCATAATTTTTGTCCTTTAATTTAGAGGAACATGCAGTGAAGAAAAGATACCACTAGTGAATCAGTGAAGCTGTCCAGGAGGAATTTGAATGAAGTTTTGTAAAATGTCTAGTGTCTAGTAAAACTAGGGAAAAAAAAACATTTTAACAATTTATATTTCTGTTTGTGTTTCAAGTGTGTAAGTTGAAAATAATATTTTTACTGTTTATTGTAAACTGTTTAGAGAAAATTGTCTAAATTATTCAATTTTATGTTATCATTGTGTTACCACTTATTGTTTTTATTAAAAGATGAAGATCTTAAATGTGTTATTGTATGATTAAAAAACAGCTGCAATATGTCGAGAAACATATGCTGTTAACCTTCAATATGAGATTTTATAGATCACACTTTAGATAATTGAAATGAATTGTGTACTAATCTTGCAAGATTTGATGATTACAATCACGTTAGGTCCAAAAAAAAAAAAAAATAGCAGTTTCTCAGGCACCACTGCATTAGGTCAAAAACTCACATTTATCAATTTTAATTTTAATGACATATTGAAAAAGGAAATAACTCCATTTTCTATTAAAAGAAAATCGACTTATTCCCCTTTTCTTAAATGCCAAGATAATATAATATATTTCTTGTTAATTTAAAATATTTAATTTTTATGCAATTACTTTCAAATAAATGTTTAAAACAACATAATTTAAAATTGAATACAAATTATATTTAATGTAAGAGATCACAAAATAAAAATCAGTTGATATCATTATTTTTTTTTGAATGTCTGACATGAAGAAAGGTATAACGACTGCTAAAAGAAAAGAAAAGGGAAAAGCCTGACTGCCGCCTTGAATTTTGGAATTTTTTGCCTGAGAAACCATTAATTTAATTTTTGGGCCATATTACTAAAATTCGGAATTGAATGAAAAGGCAAGGATAATGAAAAGTGACCGATAAAACATGGAGATACCGAGCAGTTTTCAAGATCAAAAATCCAAAATAGGAACAGAGCAAACACGGACCTCCAAAACATCAGCGGTGGGATCAGGTGCTATAGAGAAGAGAGCATCACCTGCCGACCGGTCACACCCGCCGTGTGCTCCTTGTCATGATCGGGAAATAACGGGAAAATCCGTCGTCAATTCATAAATAATGGACTAACAATTGCTTGAAAAACGTCAGTCGGCATTTGACTTAATAATAAATTGTCTTTGCTGACAAGGTCATTGTATTGACCATAGAACTTGAAATGATGACTTCTTGAAATTGTTGTTTCATCAACTTGATTGTCAATCTAAAAATAATCTACAAACTGTACAATCGAACCCCTGAAAATTCCAGAGATGAGGTTATGTGCATAGGAGGAGTATAGTTGTTTGACCAGTTCCGAATAAGAAACCGATTCCTCGGTGCTATAAATATACGAGTCATTATTTCAAAATTTAAGTGTTTTTTGTCAAGATAGTTCAATGACTTGGGGAATTAAATATTGTTTCTTAAAAGTTTAGCAATTTATGAAAGAAAATTATTTCGCAAGTTAACATAGGTAGTCATTTTCCCAGTTCCGAATACCTATCGGTACCCTTTCCGTTCAACTCTAAATTAATATATATTATACACTTATCCCATGTACACATATACACACGTCCCACATTCATTGGCATGTCTAAGAAAAGTAAAATTAATTGCTTACCAATAAGTTATTTGTATTTCCAAAGGACATAAAGAGAATCTATAGGTACTGTGAGCACTAAGCTCACTTTACTGATACCCCACGCCTCCTATATGATGATAATGACAAAGTCAATGGAGACCCGAAATAAGTGTTAAATCAAAAAGTAAAACATGATGTCAAAAATGGCATTATGTAATAAAGAATCTGTGAAAATATCATTAAATCTTATTCAGTGGTATATGAGGAATTGTGGATAAGAGATGGATATATACCCTTCAATATTAGAAAGAATGACATTATCCATGTTTTGCTAAGGGAACCCAAATTAAGCATGTTAAGTGTCAGATCAATTTCATAGAGTGGTAGAAGAGGAGTTGCAGATAAGAAATGAGTACTCCAAAGCAGCAACAGACGGACAGGCGTACAGACAGCTAGACGGATGGATGGATAAACAATAAATCATTACATACCCATTTCAAGCAGGGGTATAATAAGTCACGTTTACAAGAAATAAAGCAACGAAGAATGAATTTATTATATAATACATGGAGTGTTTTTATAATGGCCATTCGGAACCAGTAAAATGACAAGACGAAAACATTCCGATATTTTCCAGTGTTCTAAATTTTTATTTTGGACAAGTTTTAAGCATTTGTTAGAGTACATATCAAACTTACTTTTAATACCTGGAATGTTGTTTTATGTGAAAATTTGATGTCTCTACAGAGGTTTTTCTGCAGACTCACGCGTCGCGGTGATTCAAATTTGTTGCATTGTAAAAGTATGTCGAATCTTTCAAGTACGATAACGAAACCGAACTCAACAGACGGCAAAAAATCAAAACTTCACAGAATTCAAACACTTATAAATAAGCCTTCTTATCATAGGTATCAATTTATTTTTACACCTTTGAATTTATTTATAATCAGCTCTTACATTTTCAATCATTCGGAACTGGTCAAAATTCGGAATTGGCCAAACGGTCGTATAGAGCAACTGTTGACTGGTCAGACATATTATGATTTCCGTGTATATTGATCACATCATGTTTGCTTGCAAAAGGTTTCTGATCCAAAATCTGCCTAAGAATAGGTTTCGGATAGGAAACCCTTGGCTAACGAAGATGTGTTAAGGTAACAGAACATTTCTTAGCTCAGTTTAGTATTAAAACATAACTGTTTGTTATTAAACGTGAACAAAATCAAAGCTGATGATTTTTAATTAGGTCACCTGAGTAAACTCAGGTGACCTATTGCTATCCGTTGTTGTCCGTCGTCGTGCGCCGTGCGTTAACATTTGAACATTTTCAGCTTCTTCTCTGCAACCCTTCGATCAATTTCAAACAATTTTGGCACAAAGCATCTATGGGTGAAAGGGAACAAAAATTGTGAATTTCATGGTCCCTGCCCCCTTGGGGCCTGAGGGGTAGGGCCAAAACCACTAAAATTAGTGCAATCTTTAAAAATCTTCTTCTATACTCCTGGACATCAAGCAGGCAAACTGTTGGCATGATTGTAATCAGCATTGAGTCTTTTACCAAAATTGTGAAATTCATGGCCCCAGGGTCAGGGGTTCTGGTGTTAGGGCGGGGCTCTATTGATAATATAGTGAAAATGCATTTATTCTTTGAAAATCTTCTTCTCTGCTTCTGGGTGTTAAATAAACTAACTAAGCACATAGTTATGATGAGCAAGAAAGCCTCTTACAATATTGTGAATTTTGTGGCTGTAGGGTCAGGGTTTCTGGTGTTAGGGCGGGGCTCTATTGATAATATAGTGAAAATGCATGAATTCTTTGAAAATCTACTACTCTGCTTTTGAGTATTAAATAAACCAACTAAGCACATAGTTATGATGAGCAAGAGTGCCTCTTCCAATATTGTGAATTTTATGGCTGTAGGGTCAGGGTTTCTGGTGTTAGGGCGGGGCTCTATTGATAATATAGTGAAAATGCATGAATTCTTTGAAAATCTACTACTCTGCTTCTGAGTATTAAATAAACCAACTAAGCACATAGTTATGATGAGCAAGAGTGCCTCTTCCAATATTGTGAATTTTATGGCTGTATGGCAGGGTTTCTGGTGTTAAGTTAGGGCGGAGCTCTATTGGTCATATAGTGAAAATGCATGAATTCTTTGAAAATCTTCTTCTCTGCTTCTGGGTGTTAAATACATAGTTATGATGAGCAAGAGTGCATATTCCCTAATTGTGAATTTTATGGTCCAAGGTCAGGGGTTCTGGTGTTAAGGCAGGGCTCTATTGATGATATAGTGGATATGCATTTATTCTTTGAAAATCTTCTCTGCTTCTGGGTGTTCAATATATAGTTATGATGAGCAAGAGTGCTTATTCCCAAATTGTGAATTTTATGGCCCCAGGGTCAGGGGTTCTGGTGTTAGGGCAGGGGTTTATTGATTATATAGTGAAAATGCATTTATTCTTTGAAAATCTTCTTCTCTGCTTCTGGGTGTTAAATAAACTAACTAAATACATAGTTATGACGAGCAAGAGTGCCTATTCCAGTATTGTGAATTTTATGGCCCAGGGTCAGGGGTTTCTGGTGTTAGGGCGGGGCTATATTGATTATATAGTGAAAATGCATTAATTCTTTTAAATCTTTTCCTTTGCTCCTGGGTTTTACGCCAATGATCCAAGTATATATATTTTTGATGAACAAAGGTGCATCTAACAAAATGGTTATTTTTTATGCATCAATCAACCATTTTATGATAAAATTTGCAAAATTTTGAAATATGTGGCCCCAAGGTCAGTGGTTCCTTTGGGGTGAGGTGCACCACTGGTTATTAAGTGGAAGTGCATTTTCTCTTTGTTACTCTGACCTACCTCTGGGTATTAAGTAAATAGAGGAAGCATGTTAAGTTTATAATTATGATAAGCAATTGTGAATTCCATGGCCTCTGGTTAAAACACGAACCAAATTTATTTGTTTGAAAGTTGTTACACAATACTCAGGTGACCTAGAAGGCCTGTGGGCCTCTTGTTAGCTAACATACTCATTATAATTAAAAACTAAAGGTACTGTGAGCAATGAGCTCACTAAATGATACCCCCGCCTCCCATATGAGTTGCGGATAAGAGATGGGTACTCTAAAGTCTAACATGCGGACGGACAGATAGACAGACGGACGGACATACCGATTACATGCAGTATACCCTAGCACTTTTCAAGCGGGGAGGGGTATAATTACGCCTGGAACTTTCAGAAGAAAAAGTCTCTGATTGATCAATCAGACGCTTTTATTTCTCCTGAAAGTTTCAACGCTTAATTATACCCCTGCTTGAAAAGTGGGATTGTATACTGTAATCGGTATGTTCGTCCGTCCGTCCGTCCGTCCGTCCGTCCATCTGTACGTCCGTCCGTGAGTTTCTTTGCACACATTCTGAGAAATATAACAGTCTGATAGAGGCATGAGTCTCCATCTGTAAAGTATACTGAGTAAATGAAGAACTGTATTAAGTATCTTGTTTCAATGTCATGATTATCATGATTATTCATGTTATTGAAGTAATAAAATGTAACAGTATGAATTAAAAAGTTTATAAAATTCTTACACACTCGATTATGGTTATGTTTCAGTGTCCCTTACACAAAAAAAATGAAGCAAGTTTGATTAAATTACTTGTATTTCTTTGAACACCATTTTTTTACTATGTTAATGACCTGTCATTATGTTTTCTTACAGTTCAAAAAGCTAAATTTTTAGCTTTTAATTAACATTGTAAATCATTTATAACCTAATTCCAAGCCTAATTCCGATCCCGGCATCATTTTAGTTTCCATGCAAATTTATTTGTCCAGGCGTCATTTAAGTTTCAGGGCGTTGCTCATTTGCATTTTTTGCCCAATTCCTTAAATTTGTTTCCGCTTGGAATACGCCCAGAACCTGTGTATTACCATACATACATGTATGTAGAGAGACAAACTGACACCCGGAATTCCCTCTCCAAGTATGCCTCTATATTCCGGGCGGAACATTTCGTAAAGGCAATTCGTCTTTTTCGTCTTGCACATAAGTACGCTTTTTGACAGCAATTAAAAGGAACATTGAATCAATGATTTTTCTGTTCATGCCTTTTATAACATGTATAAATAAATTTTTCATTATTTAGAGAACGAGAGTCTAATAAGGTGAATATAGTGTGATATTGGAAAGGTTACCCAGGTTCAAAACGTGAATACATGTACTCTCAGATGATAAATAAATGAAAATTAAAAAAAAATTCCGAATTTAAAAACCTAAAAATGTACATTTTACGTAGTAAACAATCTTTGCAGTATTTCGCTTTATCCATGCTGGCTAACCATACAAGAGTGATTGGCATTAATTAAATAATGACTTTGTTGCATCAGCATTTAATGTTTATCAGAAACATTTTGTATAATTATTACCACTTATATGTTGTGCATGTTTCAGTGATATTCATAATTGTATAAACTTGGAGAAAAAATGTTGAATTTACTGTTTAAGTTAAGTTTTTATGCTGATTTTTTTTCTTTTGATTGGCATCAATCCCTCACTGCTTGAGGACTTGTGGCGCGATTGTTTCGACGCCTTCAAGGATCAACAAATTTATGTTAATTATTTGTTGCATAATTACATACACTCTGATATTTTCATTGCATGTAATTTTCTAGTCAATCTCAGGGGGAATGTACCTGTTTCATTCTGTATTGAATATCAGGTGGTCCTCCTTAATGGTTAATTTCATAAAAATAAATGGTATATATAATTCATTGACAGGTAAAAAAAGGAACAAAGCGTTGTTTCGATGTCCATGTCTCCCTTGATTTACGATGGCAAGGAACATAATGATAAATAAATGCTATAATGAGTCAACAATGCTAGCCTGTTTATAACTCGCCATGAACCCTTCAACATGGTTCAGAGGTAATTTATAAATGTAATAACAACAGCAAAAAGAATAAAATTAATATTTGTTTAATAAAGTACAAAAATGAGTATGAAACTCTTACTTAAACTAATTTTACATAGATTGAATAAAATACTTTAGCTAATTTTTACATAAAATAGATCAAAATAATTTTTTATGGTCTTTAAAGAATTAACATTGTAGTCATAAAACTCTTTCTAAAACAAACATTGACTAATTATTATTGATGCATTGTACAAATAAATGGAAGCAATTAACATAAAACATTGCAAAAATAAAAAAAAATGCATTGAATTCCAATTAAATTATTTTAATGAAGATAATTATTTTTTTGTAAATGAGTATGAAACTCTTACTTAAACTAATTTTACATAGATTGAATAAAATACTTTAGCTAATTTTTACATAAAATTGATCAAAATAATTTCTCATTGTCTTTAAAGAATTTAAATTGTAGTCATAAAACTCTTTCTAAAACAAACATTGATTAATTATCATTGATGCATTGTACAAATAAATGGAAGCAATTAACATAAAACATTGCAAAAGTTAAAAAAAATACATTGAATTCCAATTAAATTATTTTAATGAAGATAATTATATTTTTGTAATCATACATTGATAAAATAAATTAAACTTATAAACAGTTATTTCATTATTACCTTTTTTCCTTCAATGAATTCGAAACAGTACTAAAATCATCAATGACATAGGAACACGAATATACTGAATCTGCCTGGTGTCCTCTGAAATCTTGTATTCTGCTTCGGTTGGCTACAATATAGGAAAGTTTTATATACAGGAGATTTATAGTATATACAGAAAAAGCATTAATTAAAACAATCTTATAATTTCACTCATCCAAATTGTTTTCATAAGTATAATTTTTTAATATTACTATAAAGAATACTAAAATAATCAAGACATAGACAACACATGCAGATTAACTGCCTTTATAAATTTAATCGTTACATTTAAAGAAAAACATACCTCATTATTGATTTACAATGTTAAATACCAAAATTATGTAGATGGTGTGGTTGGCTACAAAGAAAATCATTTTACATGAGTAATATAATTTTCATGTATAAAGAAGCAACTTAAGAAAAAATAAATTTAATGATTCCACTCATTAAAATTACTGTATTCTCATTTATAATTTTTTTTCCCATTAATTTTCATTATATGTACATAAGGAATATTAAATATATATGTTATCCAAAATGGCGTTTGTCTATTTATAATAAGAAGTGTTCATCTTTTAATCCAAAATATTCCAGTTAAACATACATTTAGAATTAACTTGAAAATATGTTTAAAGTGGTCTTCCTAATGTCTTCCTGGAATCAGTTTTTGGTGTGGTTGGCTACAATGAAAGAAATTTTTACATTAGTTTTTTATATGTACATAAGGAATATTAGATATGAATGATATCGAAAAAGTCGCTTGTCTATTATAATATGTGTTCAGCTTTTAATCCAAAATATTCCAGTTAGACATACGTTTAAATGTAACTTGATAATATGTTTAAAGTGGTCTTCCTAATGTCTTCCTGGAATCAGTTTTTTGGTGCGGTTGGCTACAATGAAAGACATTTTTACATTAGTTTTATTTATATGTACATAAGGAATATTAAATTAAATGATATATCGAAAAATGTCGCTTTTCTATTATAAGATGTGTTCAGCTTTTAATCCAAAATATTCCAGTTAAACAAACCTTTAGAATTAACTTGATAATATGTTTAAAGTGGTCTTCCTAATGTCTTCCTGGATGGTGTGGTTGGCTTCAATGAAAGACATTTTTACATAAGTTTCATAAAAATGAAAAGAAGGATCTTTAAATCAATTATTTTTTTTAGCTCTTACCGTTATTTATTTTTATTGTTTTTTCGTTTCTTTTCCCTTCTATTTGAAAATTCGATAGATGTTCCCTTGTTCTTCGTTGTAAATGTGGTTGGGTCTATATCTTGGATGATCTCTACATTTATCTTATGAAGAAGGTCACGTTTCTCCAATTCTTGAAAAATCCAAAGTCTGCGATTGTCTAGGGACCACCAGTGTTTATTGTATTTACCAACCTAAAATGAAAGTGTTTATCAAAACTTAATATCACTAACATTTAAACAGTCTGATTACAAATTAAATATGTAAAATCTATCCATCATAAGGTATTTGTCATGGCACAAATTGTACTTTATTTTGTCAATATTGTGAGAGTTGGAATTGGGATGCTTTTCTTAATAATGCCCAGACCAATGTCGTGAGACTAACACACATCTCTAGCGGGAGTAAAACACTATGTTGTTGAATGTTTATATTCTATTTGCTTTCGTTAAGGATTAAAATACTTATAATGGCTAAAATAAAATTACACTGAAAATACCAGTATTACACTCGAAATATAGTGAGAATTTACTTGTATGAGTATAACAGCATTGGTGTTAAACCAATTATCCACTGTAAAGGTCTTGGTCATATAATTTTACAAAACAGATTTGTTTTGAAAACGATTAACATCAATGGAATATAATTTATGAAAACCTTAAAATTACACTATTTTAAGAATGTACTTGTGACCATCACGTGACGAATTTACACTTTGCAAATTTTCAAACAATATGGCTCCTGCTTGGTTGAGAAGTGATGTTAAAGAAATAGTTATCACTTTGTATACAACGAGATGAAACAACAAGAAACTTCTTAAAGAGTGGGAATACCCTGTACAACAAAAACGTATTTGATTAATCGTTTACGGATGTGAGGTAATACAGTATATTTGCCAAGAAAGGGAAAATATCTAAATTAGATAACAAAGATGTAAACATCTTTTAAGGTCAGTAAAAGAAAACAGAAAACGAACTGTGTTTGAAGTCACTGCCTTATTTTACCAACAAGGACAGCCACTGTTTTAAAAAAAGTGTACAGAGAACTTTTTATAAACAGGGGTATTTTCGGGGAGCTGTAAGAAAACGAATCAGAAATCGTGAAGTCATTCATAAAGTTCAGCTTTCTTTGTGTATAGGCAATTGTTACAAATACTGTCCATAATAACTGACAAAGAATAATATTCAGTGATGAATGTAAAGTGGACATTGGCTTATAAATAGTCGCGTATTTATCTGGGAAAAGGTCGGCGAGGACTGGTTACTCTGTTGTTATTTGCAACCTCAAACGCACAAGTTCAATTTGATGGTATTGGGAAGTGTAACCTTTAATAGTGAAGGTGCACTTACTGTCGTAGATGGCAGTATTAATGACCAAAAATGTATTGATATCAATGATAAACACCTGTGTTGTTGTGCGTTATTTTCCTTGGAAAAATTACCAATCTTATATCTTCCAAGATATTAAGGACAGATGATACAAACAAAAAATGGATGCCTGGATTGGTATATATTTTTTTGGTCTTATTTTATTAAAAATGATGTAAAAAATAAATTTCTAGAATATAAAGAAATTGTAAACCTTCTATGATATTGAAAATTCTACCTCTCTGAAACCATCCTTATTAATCTATACAAATATTTTTCACTTCAAATCCCAATTTTGTGAGAATTTGAATAAAAATTCAAAAACTATGCGGTTAAACTTATTCATTTTACTCATTAAAGCATGACTCAAGTTGTTATTTTCAAATTTTTTGACATAAGTTTGTTTGTATCATCTGTCCTTAATGCACCCAACCAAGATACAAAATAGTATTCACTCTAAGTTCTGGTCTTTTCAGAGTCGCAATTTAAACATTACAGAGATTGTATGGCTCAAAATCAAAAGAGAACTGAAAAATGGCGACAGAATTATCCCTCTGAAAATGAAATGAAAAACAAAAAATGAAATGAAGTACTAATTAGGATTCCCCCAGGGAAGCAATAATGAAAAGCTATAAGGAATATGATTACATCAGAAATATTGATTTAAAATGGACCATGTTATAGGAAATGATCAATGACATGATGAGAGCACAAATACCAACTAAGTTTACTCTACCAAAGTTATAGTATCCATGGATTGATACCTAGCTAAAGTTACTCACACGGAGGAAAATAGGACACATCAAAGGCAAGAAAGACCAACAGCAAGAGGGACAGAAAGCTTAATCGGAGACTTAATTAAACATATTGCCAGCTAGAAATTTGCCTTGCAAGGGACAATAACTTACAGAAAGTGATCTATGAGGACTTAAAGAAATTCTGGTCCTACGTCAAACACAGAAAACATAGTCCTGTGGCGTGTTTTCACTCAAATGCCCTGATAGACGGCTTCACAAAGACACTTTGTCGTAGACAGATATAACAACCCCCCCCTTTTTTTTTTTACAAAGGAATATTTTCAGATATGCCATCCAAAGGACACAACCCTTCCCCAACTATAAACAACATCCACATAGGAAGTAGCGGTACATGTAAGCCCATGAAAAGCTTGAATATACACAAAGCAGCGAGACCAAACGCAATCCCATCAAAATTTCTCCATGACTTTGCGATAGAACCAAATCCGGTTATGACAAAACTATTCAACTTTCGGTTGATATTGGAAAAGCATCTATTATTTCGTTATTTACACTTAGCTTCAAACTACCACAAAGACTCCTTAACTTTCGTAGGATGCAAGTTATTTGAACATATAGTGCACAACCAAATTATGGATCAATATAACGGCATTCACGTACTGGCAAAACAACATGGTTTCAGATCAAGAAGACCATACACAGTTATTGATTACAGTGGACAAGGTGGCCAAGTTATTAGCCCTTAAAGATAAGGTAAACATAGTGCTGTTAGATTTTTCAAAAGCCTTTGACAAATTGCCACATCAACGACTTCTACACAATTTGAACTTTAATGGCGTTCAGAGGAAACACCTAGAACTAGTTCAGGGACTTTTTTGCGAAAGTGACATAGCAGTCCACCCTAGAGGCCCAATCCTCTAATTAAACATGATGTCATTTCTGGAGTCCCACTGGTGAATATGATGGGACTATTATTCTTTTCCACCTTTTCAATACTAGTAACCTGTCGGTGTACATTTCATCAGATGTGTCATAATTCGTCGATGATTTCCTGCTATATCGAAAAATCAACACCATAGCAAATGCTAAAAAATCCCAGCTAGATGTGAAGTAACTAGGGAAATGGAAATGAGAACGGCAAATGAAATTCCACCCACAGAAATGTCTTTAGTAAACAACGACTCAAAAACAATCCCTCTTCGAAGGACACACTGTAGGATCAATTTTCAGTGGAAAGTACCTACAATGTAGATATTACTTTAGATATCAAGCTGAACTTGAAGGAACACATACACAATATATCATACAAGTCTTGCAAGACCTTATGCTTTTTTGCGCAATCTACTGGGATGTAGAGCTGGCATCAAATAAACTGCCTCCAGTACAATGGTCAGACCCACCTTGGAGTACATGTATGCATCGGCAGTCTGGGATCCCTATCAACAGACCCAATGCAAATACAAATGTTGGAGAGTGTCCAGGGAAGAGAAGCGAGGCTTGTTAAGGGCAATTATTGTGAGAAAACACCAGGCTGTGTTACATCGATGATGATGGAGGAACTACATTGGGAACCCTTAGAACATGGTTTATCACAATGTATCAGATCAGCAATGACCTAATTGATATCACAGCAACATTTGAACAAGGGACAGCAAATACTAGAACTGCCGCCATCCACCAACATAGCGAGATGTGTATGATTCTTCCCTCTTCCCGAGGACCATCAGGAATGGGAACAGCCTGCAAGATTGTGTCAAAGAAGCCAGTTCCATCAATGGTTTCAAAAAGCAATGACTGCCTCTTATCACCCTTAAGTTTACTGCAGAATATTAGTTTTAAACAAATTTGTAACTGTAAATAATGAGGCTTTGAGCTGTGAACTCACAATATCGAACCAAACGGATTGCAAAAGTATAGGAAGAGGAGGAAGAATGAATGGTTATTTGACTGATATTGTGGACAGAAATCCCGGTTGACTACATTCAGAGTATTTACCATACAATGCCTCAAAAGAATACACAGAGTATTAAATTCAAAATAAAACATAACAAAATACTGAGGTAAGAAAATAAATTGTTTATTATTTTTATTTACATAGCAAGATGCACAATTGCGGCGGCCATTTTGAATTTGGTCGATCACTTATGACAGATTACTGTATACAGTTTACAGTTTACTGAAGAGATTATTCTGGGTTTGAATAGTTCATGGAAGAAAATTGTGGGTTGTCCTTAATAAATATCAAATACATGGTTGATTTTTAGCTTACACATTTAATTTTTGATATTTTTAAAATATAATTTGTTGAGAACACGATTAACATTCCAAACAAACATACCTTGATCTTTGGGAGGTCTGTTGCCCTTGTCCTATTGTTTAAAATCTCATCAAGAACGTCTTTAACCCTATTTCCATTGTTGAAATTGTTAGAAATAGTATCTTGCGTGTATCGGATCTCGGATGGAATGAGATATTTGGTTTCTGAATTGTTGTGTCCTACATCATTGCTCGCTTTGCTCATAAATAATAAAGGGAAGGTTCATGCGCCGCTGAAATTAGGACTTTTAATTTTTTTTGGTAGGCTCATTTGGAGATAATTGTATGCTTTTCTGATAAGAATAAAGCAAAAAGAAACATGATATATTAACAAAAAGATTTTTTAAATGGGTTTGAATAGATATATCACTACGCGGTTATGAAACTCAATCGGCAATCCTCGACAAACTCCGGTACGCTCTATTCAAACTTCGGATGTGTTAGGTGGAGGAATACGCATCAGGCCAATACATTTCTACGCCGGAAATTGCCTTGTCACTCATTTCATATTTCGCTCAGCATAGAGTTTTTTGAAAAGGTTTCTAAACTTGCATAATTCTTCATTGTTTATTGCTTTTAATTACAACAACCATATGTAATTAGCCTTAAAAAGTCTTGTGCGAGACACAAAGGAGCTCGGATTTCAAAAGTGTAAATTTAAATGAAATTCAAATAAAATCACATGACCGAATCAGCAAGATGGTTGCTCACCTTTGACATTAAAGGTTAGTGTGCGAGGAATGTAATGAGCCACCCGAGGAGCTACGAGTGATGAAATTTCCGAAAAAAGTGCGGAGACGCAGATAACTATAGGTAGTTGAGCCTGGTTCCGGCCTACACATGATGATTCGCCTAGTTTAGAGAGTAAACAAGTGAACTGCAAACTGCATACTGCAAAAACATGCCAGAGCCTTTTTTGGCCTCTAATTTGGCTCCAAACCAAATTTTAACGAGGCCAAAACAGTTGGACCGGTCTCAAATTTGGCCTCTATAAAATAAATTGTCTGTCGTTGTTGTTGTCCCTGTTGTCGTCGTCGTAATCCTTTCACATTTTAATCTTCTCAAGAACCACTTTACCAATTTCAACCAAAACATGCCACAAAGTACTAGTATCTTTAGGTAAAGGGGATCCACGTTTGTTTAAATGAAGGACAAAGCTATCTTCAAATAGGGGATAATTATGAATTAATGAAAAATTAATGACATCTTAATTTTAAAAATCTTCTTCTCCAGAACCTATGGGCCAGAAAAATGAAACTCATGTGGAGGCATCCTCAGGTAGTTAAGAAGTTTGTTAAAATCATGACGGTTGACCCCTTGGGGTATGGTGGGGCCATGGGGGAGTTTAACATAGGGATACCTAGGGAAAATCTTTAAGAACCACTGGGTCATGAAAACTTTAACTCATATGGAAACATCCTCATGTAGTGTAGATTCAAGTTTGCTCAAATCATGACCCCTGTAGGTAGAACGGGGCCCCAATGGCTGATCAAAGTTTTACATATATTTGTGTATAAATATGAAAAAAAAATTAAAATCCTTCTTCAAAACTATTGGGCCAGTAAAGATTAAACTAATGTGGAAGCATACTCAGGTAGTGTAGATTCAAGTTTATTAAAATCATGACCCCCGAGGACAGAGAGGGGCTACAATGGCTGATCAAAATTTTAAATTGGTATGCATACTAGAAAAATCTTTTTAAAATCTTCTTCTTAAGCAAAGTTATGATTGGTGATATTACTAGAAGTACTGTGAGCAATGAGCTCACTAAATGATATACCCCCTCCCATATGATTATAATGGAAAAGTCAAAAATTTTAAATTTCTTTTTCTCAAGTATGGCAAAATTATACATGTATGCTTTATTGATACAGTGACATTCTGTAGTAATTAAAAAATCAAATCCATCCTCCCCCAACAAGTAAACTTTTCAATACTGTGCTGATTTGTGTTTTTTAACTAGCCCATGTGCTCAGATGAGCGATGTAAGCAATTTGGCCAATGGGCCTCTTCTTTCAGAAATTGATTGATTTCTTAATAGCTTCAGTTTTTAACGATTTCACTTATCTGATTTAAAAAAAAAATCTTGATCAATTTTCACCTTATAAATTATGTGACTTGAAGAATTGAAGTCGACGTTATACATGTTCTTTTTGTAGACCATGTCCGTAGTACTTGGGTTCATTATGAACATCAAGACACACTCAGTCAAAGGTGGTTTGACCAATATTATATTTATTAGCTCACCTGAGTAAACTCAGGTGACCTATAGCTATCCGTTTCCGTTTCCGTGGTGTGTTAAAATTTGTACATTTTCAGCTTTTTCTCTGAAACCACTGAACCAATTTCATCAAATTTAGTATACAGTGTCTATGGGTAAAGGAAAACAGAATTTTATGGTCTCTGCGCCCTTGGCCTGAGGGGTGGGACCAGAACCACTAAAATTATTGTAATCTTTAAAAATCTTCTTCTTTACTCTTGGACAAAAAGCAAACAAACTGTTGGCATGATTGTAATCAGCATAGAGTCCTCTACTAAAATTAATAAATTCAGGCCCATGGGTCAGGGGTTTAAGTGCTAGGGCGGGGCAAAATAGAATATATAGTGAAAATCAGTTTAATCTTTGAAAATCTTCTTCTCTGCTCGTGGGTATTAAATAAACTAACTAAGTACATATTTATGACGAACAAGAGTGCCTCTTCCAGATTTGTGAATTTTATGGCCCCATGGTTAGGTGTTTGTGCGGAGCTCTATTGTTAATATTGTGAAAATGCATTTATAATTTGAAAATTTTTTTTCTATGTTCCTGGGTATTAAATAAACTAACTAAGTACATAGTTATTATCAGCAAGAGTGCCTCTTCCAGATTTGTGAGTTCCCGTGTTAGGGCGGGGCTCTAATGATTATAGTGAAATGCATTTATTTTTTGAAAATCTACTTCTCTGCTTCTGGGTATTAAATAAACTAACTAAGCACATATTATTATGAGAATGAGTGCCTCTTTCAAAAAATGTGATTTTTATGACCCCAGGGTTAGGGGTTTTGGTATATTAGAGCAGGGCTCAATTAGTTATATATCGAAAATGTATTTATTCTTTGAAATTCTTCTTTTCTGCTTCTGGGTATTAAATAAACTAATTAAGTACATAGTTCATATAGTTATGATGAGCCAGTTGCCTCTTCAAAAAGTGTAAGGGGTTCTGGTATAAGAGCGGGGCTCAATTGTTATTAAATAAACTAAGTACATAGTTATGATCAGCAAGAGTGCCTATTCTAGATTTGTGAGTTTTATGGCCCCAGGGTCAGGAGTTCTGGTGTAAGGACGGGGCTCTATTGATTACATAGTGAAAATGCATTTATTCTTTGAAAATCTTTTTCTTTACTTCTGAGTATTAAATAAACTAACTAAGCACATATTATTATTATAAGCATGAGTGCCTCTTCCAAAATTGTGATTTTTATGACCCCAGGGTTAGGGGTTCTGGTGTTAGAGAGGGGCCGCTTGAATTATATATTGAAAATGCATTTATTCTTTGAAAGTATTCTTTTTTGCTTCTGAGTATTAAATAATCTAACTTAGCACATAGTTATGATGAACAAGGGTGCCTCTCCCAAAATTGTGAATTTTATGGCCCCAGGGATAGGGGTTCTGGTGTTAGGGCGGAGCTTTATTGATTATAGGGTAAAAATACATATAATAAATTTTTTGAAAATATTTTTCCTTCCGCCTGTGTTTAATGCCAATGATCCAATTATCCATATAAATGATAAAGACAGGTGCATCTAGCAAAGTGGTTTTTATGCCCGCCCTCCTGGGTCAGAGGGAGGTGGGGGTACTCAATCTGAAAATAAATTAATGCTTTGAAATCTGCTCTTTGGTAATAATAAACCATTTTATGATAAAATTTGCAAAAGATTGAAATATGTGGTCCCCTATGGCACTGGTTCCTTTGGGATGAGGTGCACCACTGTGTACAAAGTCACTGTGGAAGTGCATTTTCTCTTAGGTACTCTGATCTTCCTCTAAGTTTTAAGTAAATAAAGTAAGCATACTAAATTAAAAATTATGATAAGCAATGGCACCTCTTCCAAATTCAAAAATGTAAATTGTGAATTTCATGGTCAGTCTCTGGTTTAAAACACGAACCAAAGGATCACTTCGTTATAAATAGGGATCTGACCTATAGGACCGGGCTTGGTTTTATTCTCTACAAAAGGCTTGCCGATTTCCGTTCTGATTAATGACATTAGGCTGAATACATATAACAATTTGTTTTTCCTAAATCTTTATTTCAGTAAGTAGAGATAGGGGCTGAACCCTTTCATAGATTTCTGAGTTTGTTATCTCCAAACATAATAATTAATATTTTTCTTTACTTCTTATTGTGCTTAATGGTAATGTATGGTAATGTATACTGTCTCTGAAATTCTATCCTTTATGTCCAGGCTATTTATGGATATTTATGGATATAATAAAACATGCCATTATAATTATAATGTGTGCAAATTATATAGACCTAAATGAAATCCAAGGAAAACAGTTCCTGATATATGTAGACGAAGTCAATGTGATTAAAATTCTTAGGAATATATACAAATGAACTTCTTCTCAGCTCAATGCTGCCAAGAATCACTGTAGGAAAGCGGCTGACCGTAGTATATACTACGGTCATCAAAACATGTCGGCCGAGGTCACCGGTTAGAAATTTTCAGTCAAGATTTAAAACATTCGCTAGGTTATCTGTGTTAATTCTTGCAAAATATAAATGTACGCCAATGAGAACTTGCTATAGGTTAGTATAACTTACTTGCATTTAAAGAAATAAAGCGGTAGTAGGACCTCAAAGTTTTTGTCAATGATGACCGTAACAAAATTTTAAGATGACCGTTATATAGATTGTTCCCAATGAAGTAGGATGACCGTACTATATAAATATAATCTAATGTGTTTTCTTTTCTGTTGAAGAGGCAGACATATCATGTTATTTTTGTATTAAGGTTTCGTCAAAGGTCAACATGTCCAAAATTTATTTTTACAATAGCCCCAAAACTATGTGAGGTATAAAGTTAAAAGTTTTACATTATATAAATTTTTCATTGATTAACATATAGAAAGTATTACCTGATAAAAAAAATACTTGGTATAATATTAATTGAGAAAATTCGACTAAAAATGTATATATTTTCAAAAAATATTCCTAATTAATTCCGTGATCTTA